ACCGCCTGGACCCCATGGACCGTATGGACCGCCTGGACCCCATGGACCGTATGGACCGTATGGACCGCCTGGACCCCATGGACCGTATGGACTGTATGGACCGTATGGACCGCCTGGACCCCATGGACCATATGGACCGTATGGACTGTATGGACCGCCTGGACCGTATGGACCGTATGGACTGTATGGACCGCCTGGACCCCATGGACCGTATGGACTGTATGGACTGTATGGACCGCATGGACCGTATGGACCGTATGGACTGTATGGACCGCCTGGACCGCCTGGACCCCATGGACCGTATGGACTGTATGGACCGCCTGGACCCCATGGACCGTATGGACCGCCTGGACTCCATGGACCCCATGGACCGTATGGATCGCATGGACCGCATGGACCGTATGGACCGCATGGATCGCATGGACCGCATGGACCGCATGGACCGTTTCCTTCCATCATTTTTGTTTCAGAGGACTGAAACAGCAGAGACCAACAAATCACTACAAACTCCTGCTGCATGGATTTGCTTTGTAACTTTCATAGCAAACAGCTGCAGGTAAAAACAGGATTCAGGGATTATCTGCATAAATACAACATCACTTATGGAGATGTTCACAAAGTCAGGCGCTGTGGGAAGAGACGCTCTGATCTGAATCACCCAAGATCAAGTGATGGCATGGAGGGAACAGGATGGAGGGAACAGGAGGATGGAGGGAACAGGAGGATGGAGGGAACAGGAGGATGGAGGGAACAGGATGGAGGGAACAGGATGGAGGGAACAGGATGGAGGGAACAGGATGGAGGGAACAGGATGGAGTTCATGGAAATCAGGAGAATGGAAACATTTGGTTCACTGAACCTGCAGAGAGTCTGAATGAAACTCTGCTGCCCACCGAAGGCTGCATGATGCAGAGTGGAATGAGCTGCAGGAGTGTGTGTGTGTGTGTGTGTGTGTGTGTGTGTGTGTGTGTGTGTGTGTGTGTGTGTGTGTGTGTGTGTGTGTCCTGATTTTGATTCAGAAGCATGAAACCCTTTGAAGACGGTCCAGAGGATTGGTTGGGCTGCCAGAGGTTGGAGGAGGAGAATGGAGATGATTGGAGATGAGAAGCATGAAGGATGGCCGGGGACAGTGAGCGGGATGAATGGATTAACGCACCTGAATGAATCACACACACACATCAGCAGCCTGCAGGAGGAGCCGTATCGGCTGAACCCTCTTACCTGACTGAGAGGAGAACGAGCCACACTCTGACATTTGGAACATGCGCTGCAGCAGCCGGAGCCTCCGAATGCAGCAGGCATCAATTTCCTTCAAATGTCAGGAATGTGAGCAGCAACAAGTTGGCTGAACGTTTCCACAAACAGAGTGGATGCTCCGCAAAGAGAAAATTCACCAACTTCTTAGAGGTGAAAGGTCAGCGACCTGCTGGGCCAGCAGCTCCAGAACCAGAGAAACTCATCAAGCTGACGAAGAGATGAAGAACCCTGAGCATCGACTCCATCACACACCAAGAAAAGGCAACTCCTCTTTTCATGGCTCAATGGCCCAATTCTGACCTTTGATCCGAAAAATACCTGATCATTGGACCTAAGATGGATCTGATGGTTTTAAGCCTCTGCAGTCGAGCCGCCATGTTGCGTTTTATTCAACGAAAGCTGCGTTCTCCACGTAGCTCATCAGTTCCAGGCTCTCGCTGAAATCTGATCGTTTTTCTGCATGTTTGTTCAGGATACTAATAAAAAACCGTCGCAGTCAGACGTCTGTGTGAACCGATTCCAACCCCGACGCGAACATCGCTGCACCAGCAGCGCCGACATCTGTGAACTTTTGATGGTTTGACTGAGGATTTCCTGTCAGGAGCTCGATACTTAATGTCACGTTTGTTCAATTTGAACAATTGTCATCTTTCTAGATACCAGGCAGACTGAGGTTATGGCACTCATGCAAAATAGTTTCACTTTATTCACATGTTTTGCAAACTGATCAACAGCCATGTTTGTTTGGTGGCACCTTCTGAACCAGTCCTCTCTTGTAAATATCCTCATTTTGTCTCTGCAGATGGAGACGCGCAGCTGAAATCTGCAGCTAATCAGAATTAATTTCAGTGTGAAAGCGCCGCAGCTTCCTCTCTGCTATTCTGGTCACTTTTGATCTGGAAAGAATGGATTAGCTTCATTCCTAAGGCAATTTCCTCACGATGAAATGCGCCATCAGCATGCACACACGCACGCAGCATCGCCGCAAATTAAAAGGACTGTCAGCGATACGGGATTATTTTAGCTGAGGCACAAATTCCCTCAAAAGACAGAATATCCAGTTGATTGTAAGGAGGTTTTCTTCCTGGTTCTGGGCTGAGTCAGAGTTCAGGATGGATCAAAAATATGACAAAATGGAAATTAATCAGTGAAAACTCAAGACTTAACACAAACTTCTCCAAAGGAAAAACAGTAATGCTTTGAATATATCGGCCGAACTGGCCTGACTGGTTGATAATGAATATTTAATGATGTCATGTTTAAATTTAAATCTTTCCCTGTTTATTTCACTTTAAAGCCATTTAATATTTTAGGTTGGGTCGGGCATTTAACCCAAACCGTCCAAATGTCAGATTTTAAATAAACATGATGCTGAAATAAAGAGAACTCACCATTATTTTTAGTTTTTGGTGAGTTTAATAAGATCTCCTGTTAAATTAGTCAGGCCTGTGTCAATCATCTGCACTATGCAGGTGATTAAAGTTTAAATTATGACTGCCAGAGGTTGGAAAGAAAAACTGATACATATCAGAGAAAAAATATAAATGGAGAGATATAAATATGTATAGATGGGTGGAAATATACCATGTGAGTTAATTGTCTCATCCTTGGCCCCCTTCACTCTGAAGGTCTAGCTCCGGCTCTGGTTTCCCTCCTGATGGAAGGCATGTGTATGTAAACTTCTGAGCTGGTCCTCCAGTCCAAAGATGCTCACTGAAGTCTTTTCGACTTAATATTTAAGAATCAAGAACTAAATTCTAAAACTGCTCAATGATAAAGTTGCAGTTTGATGAACAGAAATATTATTGGCTGCTTCTAATATTAGCATCAGCTCTACTGGCTGATGCTAATATTAGCATCAGCTCTACTGGCTGATGCTAATATTAGCATCAGCTCTACGGGCTGATGCTAATATTAGCATCAGCTCTACTGGCTGATGCTAATATTAGCATCAGCTCTACGGGCTGATGCTAATATTAGCATCAGCTCTACGGGCTGATGCTAATATTAGCATCAGCTCTACGGGCTGATGCTAATATTAGCATCAGCTCTACTGGCTGATGCTAATATTAGCATCAGCTCTACGGGCTGATGCTAATATTAGCATCAGCTCTACGGGCTGATGCTAATATTAGCATCAGCTCTACTGGCTGATGCTAATATTAGCATCAGCTCTACGGGCTGATGCTAATGTTAGCATCAGCTCTACTGGCTGATGCTAATGTTAGCATCAGCTCTACTGGCTGATGCTAATATTAGCATCAGCTCTACTGGCTGATGCTAATGTTAGCATCAGCTCTACGGGCTGATGCTAATATTAGCATCAGCTCTACTGGCTGATGCTAATATTAGCATCAGCTCTACGGGCTGATGCTAATGTTAGCATCAGCTCTACTGGCTGATGCTAATGTTAGCATCAGCTCTACTGGCTGATGCTAATGTGGTGGGACCGGTGTGGTTCAATAGAACTATTTTTAAGACAAAATTGTAATAATTTATCCCCAAAAAGTTATCTTCAAGGCACACAGGCCGCTACATATGAGGCTTGAGACAATCTCACTAATTTCAATAATTTTATTTATTACATCAGTTCATGCTAATCAATAAAATACACCAAGTTAAAACCACTCACATTAAATAAATAACAGTGACGGCTCAAGTCAAGGGTGGCAGTGCAGTTCAGGGTAGTGACCTAAATAAAAGAAACACAGCAAACAAAACAACAAAACTAAAGAAAATTGTGCAGCAAATCAAAAAAGTACCACCACCCGGAAAGTCCACCACCAACACCACGAACTGGCCTTTCCTGTCAAGATAAAAGACATTCAAATTACATGAGTCATTTCATAATTGTCGTTCAGTCAACAATCAGCAGCAATTGTCAATTAAGAATCCGTCCTGGGATGCCACGCCACAGACGCCACTCAAGAGCGGCAGCAGAGTCCGTCCAAGCTGGTCGCCAGTCCGAACCAGCCAAGCTGGACAAGGGGCAGGAGTCAGGTTCACGCTGACCACGACGGCTGGCAGAAAGCCAGCAATCAGAGCGACAAATGGACTGCCGACGGACAACCAAAATAACAGCTGACATCAACCAGGAACCACAGGGCAACAGGCAAACAGCAACCAAGGACAAACAGCAGCGTCTATAGCAAACATAAGTGTTAAACCTCAAATCTAAAAGCATGCAGGTAATGAGCTACTGGCGCTGCACAGCAACAGAGGTCTAAACCGGAAACACATGTTGACCAGGTGAGGGAGGGCCCCTTATATACAAACAGCGCCACCACCAATTAAATGTCAGCACTTGTGTGGTGCGTTCAAAACCTCCAGGGCATACTGCCACACTAATATTAGCATCAGCAAACACACACACACACAGACACACCCACACAAACACACAGACACACACACACACACACACACACACACATCCTCTCCATCAATCTCACCATTTAGTTTAACTTTATTTCTCACTCCATTAGTTTCTGGGACACAGAGCAGCGCAGAGCTAAGAAAGGAGATGTGTTTGAAAAAAATAAAAAGAAAGTTTGACTCCTGAGATAAAATGTAATTTCACAGTCAACTTGCTGTGATGTATTATTCCACAACAAGGGGGCGGCTGATGGGAGACCCGCTCGGTCCTTAGGACATCAGTGACGATCTCTGGAGAATGATCATGTCTCCGATGTGCAGGGAAAAATCAGAACAGGAAAAACATTCAATAAATTGGGCCAGCACGATAGTTTAAACAGAATTTTTTTTATTTTTTTAGTTTCTGAAAATATTTCCAGTGGTCGACTTCATGCTTCTTTAATGAGCTTTAAAGGCGAGAAGAGCAGCTGCAGGTGAAGCCGAAGGAAGAAAAAGATCCATTCATCTTTGTTTTGTAGTGTTTACGGTGCATCGGCTCACCTGATGAAAGAATAAACCTCCTTCATTCCAGACCCCCCCATTACATGCTATTACCTTCCAACATGCTTTGGCATTGACGGATGCCTTCTGCTTCATTAGCTGCAGTCTGTTCTGAGAATCACTTACACAATACCAAACAGCTTTGGTTAGAAATCTAATGAGGCGCAGCAGATGGGCCGAGTTACATCATGGAGGAATCGGCCTACTTTCTGTTCCTGACGTCAGGAGTCCATCACAGGGGGGCAGCAGGGGCCCGGGGCCCGGGGGCATCAAACACTCACAAAACAACACATCAGTGTTTCACACGAAAACCAAACTGTTAAAGTTGAACTACAACAGCGTACCAGGAAAAAAGAGGAGCACATTTCTGCCAAAGAATCTTATGAGTTTGAAAATATGACATTTTTAGTTTCAAAAGTTTACATTCTTAAAGTTTCGTAGCTCATAAATTTCCATGTCTTTTTCTCAGAAATTTCGAAGATTAATCTCAGAATGTCTGATTTTTTTGAATAGAACATGTTTGACCTCTGCCGATCGTCCGCCGATACTCTGCCGATCGTCCGCCGATACCCTGCCGATACTCTGCTGATACTCCGCCGATACTCTGCCGTCTGCAGTGCAGTCACAGCTTGCTGTTCTTCTGAAACTGCGACACGAGGCCCAGAACCTGCTCCGAAGCCGCCACCACCTTGTTCTGAAGGTACAGGACGCTGTTGTTGGTCGTCTCGTTCAGGAAGTAGCGGTAGTTCACCATCATGCCGCAGGAGTTGGCCACGCCCCTGGGGCTGGTGTCGGCGCGCCAGTTGATCCGCCACATGGTGGCGCCGTTCTGCAGGTGGAAGTTGGCCACTGGGTTGAGCGCAAAGCCTCGGCGCTTCTCTCCGTAGAGGTACCAGGCGCAGAGGCGCATCAGGACGGGCTCCAGGGCGCGGCACAGCTTCTCGGAGCGCGTCCACTCTCCGGTGGCGATGAGCTTCCGCAGAGAGTCGACGGGCGCGGTTCCCGTGTTGGAGTCCAGGGCCTGCTCCAGCTCGCTCCACTCCTGCTCCGATAAGAGGTCGGGCCCCCGGCCCTCCTTCCTGTGCTGGCCCAGCAGGCCTTGCAGCCAGGAGCAGAACCCTGGGATGGGCGAGAGGCTGGAGAACTGGGCCATGTGGGGGAACTCGCTCTGAAACAACGGCACAAAAAATTCATCGTTTTGGAAAACCTTTTGAGGTTAAAGTGTGAAACCCACTTCCTGTAACCCACTAATGTCAGAGCTTTTATTTGCCTTTAGCTACATTTGAAGTACTAGCTTCGTTTTTCAGATCATTTCTGAAGTGCTAATTTACTGGACTGTTCTGTAAACCTTCAGGTAAAGTTTGACATCCATGTTGACGTTTTGGGGATGACTGAAGTAAGATCATGCTTTTATTTTGAAGATTGATTACGCAGCAGTTCCGCTTCCTGTCGTGTTGGAAAGAAAAACTGATACATAGAGAAAAAATATAAATGGAGAGATATAAATATGTATAGATGGATGGAAATATACCATGTGAGTTAATTGTCTCTACCAAAAAGGCCTTGGTAGAGACAAACAAACAAAACACTAACAGACAGACAAATTAAATATTTACATCTGAATCTTTTCCTCACATTCTCCACCTGTGATGTGATGCAAATTGTTCAGTACCCAGAATGCATCACTGTAGAACCACCTGTGGCATCATAGTCAAACTGAACCCATGAGTGAAAGCCGTTCCAAACCGTACAGTAGCAACAAGTCTGGCCTGTCATGGTCGATATTAGCATTTTAGCATTAGCTTCCATTAGTTACTATGCTGGCATAGCAGCTAGCATTAGCAGAAATGATGTTTATGATTAATGCTTTAGGGTTAGCACAGCTAACCTTTGAGCTAGTGGCGCCCACCACTGATGAATCATAATCAGGCCTTCCATCACTTCATACAGCTGGAGGGAGGAAAACAGAAAGAATAGAAACATATTTGGCAGATTTTGAATTCAACACCAGAATGATAATTAAACCTAAATGTTTGGGTTTTGCTCTCTCTTTCGTGCAGCAGCTGTCTGAGTGGATCTGTGTCTCCATCCTGTCACAGATCCAGAGACAGTCTACACAGAGGCAGTCTACACAGAGGCAGTCTACACAGAGACAGTCCACACAGACCTACACAGGTTGAGGCTCGGTGTGAAAACAGAACCAGGACGTCTTTGCTGCTGCTCGGACGGCTCGACCCCGTCGGTTCCTCTGTCTGGGACTCCATCACCAATCATCTGAGCTGCTTCTTGAGCCGGCCTGCTGATGCTGATGGGTGATCCTCTCCTTCCTCTTCTCCTCTTCCTGTACCACCTGTCCCCGTCTCTAAACTGCCTCCCCTCCTGTGTGTCATCTCATCGGCAGCGGTCACCCGCGGCTCGGAGCTCCCTGCCGTCTCAACACCCTTTCATTTAGCAGAAAGAAAGCCTCCCTCTTCAGACACATTTCTGTGCTTGGGTGTCTACGTTAATAAGTGAGAGAACAATGTGTCAGGCAGAAAGGCAATAGCTGTCTATGAAAGTGGAAGTGTGAGACACCACCTGGTGAGACACTTTATTTTTCTTCTGCTCTGCCTTATTTCAACCACCTTTCAATTTAAAAATCAAGGCTCCTTGCTGCTTCTCCCCTTTATGTTTCTTCACACTTGACTATGCTGTAGCTCTGCCTTCCTCACACTGAGCAAAAGTTAGTGGAAAAGAGAGCGATGGCATAAGTAAGAAAGCAGCGGGAAAAGCGAAAAGGGAACGGATGACGGAGCGAGTTCTGCTTGGGGGATCCAATCTACAAAGACAAACAAGATATTCTTCCTGCACCTGAAATTGCAACTGTGACCTTTTCTATCCCACTCCATCTTCTGTCCATCATTACAGCCAATCCTCCGTGGCAATGCTGTCCCTCTCAGACAGCCTGGATCTCTGCACATCATAGGGCTAGCGTTAGCTGCAGGAGGTCAGCCACTGCAATAGCCTACAAGCAAATCCTATCAGGTGACAGAACTTTGGGCTGATTTGCTGAAGTGTAAAGCAAGAATCACAATGTAGGAAAAGGGATTCAACTTTGATTAAATTTCAAAGTTAAATGCCAGATCTGCTGCTATTTCATACCAAACAACAGATTTCACCAACTAACGACCCACAAAGTGAGGATGAAGAGGAGAAAATATGGCTCATCTATGTTAGCATGTCCAACATCCCTGTTCAGTCGGCTTTAACCGGCTCCAGTCAGGCTGCCTGGAAATCTGGTGAGGTGTGAACGCTAATCGACCTCTGACCTCTGGTCCTCGGTTGAAGTAACTCTGGTTTGGTTTGAATGTGAATGGCAAATACCACAGTGAGAAACTTTGGGTCTGCTGCACAGTGAATGACATGTCAACAGATCTGCTGAAGTCATAATGTGTTAATGATTGAATCATGAGTCTAGAGTGAGAAAATAATAAATTACTCCTATTCTAGATGTTAGATTAGGTGAATAAACACAACCTTACTGTCATGTTCAGGATGTGAAGCTTTCAGTTCAGCAGACTTCACACAAAATGTCTGATGAGAAGGAACCTGGAGACCCCCTGCCGTGTTTCTCTGAGGTTCCTGTCTGCAGGCTATTTATAATAGAAAGTCAACTAAATGTTCTGCTTTGTAGATTTCCTTGTGCAGGGATCAAAAGATGCTGATAAGTGGCTTCTGTCTTCCTTCAGATTAGCTTCTTTAGCGTCAGAATGATGAATCTGCCTGACGGAACAGCAGGAGGTCCTCCGCTCCCATAATGACAGCTGTCTGTGCCTTCAGAAAGGTCAGCGACCTCTGCAGCTCGCTACCGGCCGCCATCAAAACAACGTCACAGTTTAATGAACTAATACTTTCAACAAACACTCTCTTTAAAGTGAAAGCACGCCGTTCTTTCAGTATTTTCTGAGACAGAGAAGCTGCTGATGAGCAGATTTGATGTCGCCCACCTGAACTGAGACCGTCTGCTTTCTGGGCAGAAAGTGGCGCTCCGTCTTATTTCCATTACGAACGCAGCCTGGAGGTGAACCGCTGGTCCTCTGACATGAATAAATAGACTTGAAGGAGCTTAAACCAGGTTTTGATGAGGAAGTGCTGCAAAGTGCTTCCCCATCTGTGGGGTTGAGTGGTTCCTGATGTTGCATTTAGGATTTTCAATCATGAAACAACGAGCTTCAGGGGCCCAACATGGAGGGTTATTGTCTGCTTATTGAGATGAATAGATTAGATTTCAGCTCAGCCTGTAGGTGGAATATGTCGTTTATACAACCAGAAACCTTCACAGCAAGCAGAAGTATTCATACCCCCGAAACTGAGTCACAATGTATTTTATTGGGATTCAATGTGATAGACCAGCATAAAGTAATAAATAAGTCTGAACGTTAGCTCAGCTTAGCTTAGCAGCACCTTTACCCACCTGCAGCTCCCGGACCACGCGCTTGATGAGATAGTTGCCCAGCTCCACGCCCTGCAGGCCGGCCTGGGTGGAGGAGATGGAGTAGAAAATGGCCGAATTGATCTTGTTTATGTCCTCCTCTGCATCAAGAGTTGCAAATTCCCGGACAATACTCTGAGGGAAGAAAAACACACACCACTGCATCTTTACCTACGGTTATCAACAAGGTCCAACGCGAAGGAACCAACTGCTCACAGGAAAGATCCAAACAAACACAAAACCTAGAAAATCACTGTGACAGCAAAAACAGCAGCAAGAAAAGCTACAAACTCACAGCACAGAAGTCCTCCGAACCACCAGGGGGAGACAAACAATCTGCATTTAGGACTTAACCTTCTGATTTAACAGGACGTCCAGAAGGAAAATGTTACACTTCATGTCTCCAACATTGTTGTAGAACCGCAGAACCTGCTTCAGACTCCCCCTAGTGGTCAGGAGGACAACTGCTGCATGTGTGTGTGTGTGTGTGTGTGTGTGTGTGTGTATGTGCTTCTTCCTGAGATGACTCTGGTTCTGACCTGGATATTGTTTATTCTGGTTCTGGTTCTGACCTGGATGTTGTCGGTTCTGGTTCTGACCTAAATGATGTCAGTTCTGGTTCTGGTTCTGACCTGGATGTTGTCGGTTCTGGTTCTGACCTGGATGTTGTCGGTTCTGGTTCTGACCTGGATGTGGTTCTGGTTCTGACCTGGATGTGGTTCTGGTTCTGACCTGGATGTTGTCAGAAATGTCCTCGGTCAGCGCCACATGCAGCACCACCAGCGGTTCCCCCGGCATGGCGGAGTGTGTGAAGGCGTAGCAGCGCCGGTTCGGTCCCACTCTGCGCTTCAGGTCGGTCCAGTTCCTGACGGGGTGAACCGCTTCGTACCTGGCAGAAAAACTCAGTCAGGTTTAGGTAGCCAACTCCTGCCTGCCTAGAAGTGAAAAAGCCCTTTCAGGAGTTCAGAGGGAAACACTCGGCCGAACCTCAGCCTGGGTTTGCTGTCGTGGTTCAGGACTCGCATTTATTCCGTTGTTTGAAACAAGCTTTGCCTGAGATTTCAGGCGTTTCCTCCCCACGGAGCCGCGGCTCAGCTGAGCTGCTAATCTGCTAATTGCAGAGTTAGTGGATGGCAGATGAAAATGGAGGAAGAGTTTAGAAAATGCAGCCATTTAACAGTTTTCTTGGAGCAAGAACTCCAAATCTGTTCTGTGTTCAGGTGCAGAGAAGGCTTTCATTATTTCCTCAATTAGAAGGAGCCGGTCTGTCGCTGCTCCCCACTGTGCAGGTTGTATTTCAGCGGGATTCACCCACCAACGTGGCGCTTTGCCACGCTGTGAATGAAATTCACAACGTTCTCATCCAAATTAGAGGCGAGAGAAATTTCCAGCATTCTGGTCACTCAGATTCAGCCACAATGATTAGACATCCTGGTGCAGATGAGCCCAAAACATTTTTCTGTTTTCATAAATCTTTAGCGAGAGAAGGAGCAGTGAGAGGATGAAGGGTCTTACTGGCTGATCTTCTGCAGGATCTCACAGGGCGACTGCCAGGTGATCCTCTCCAGCCGGAGCAGACCGACAGCAAACCACTTGGACAGCAGGCTCTTCAGAGTACCGTTCAGGTCCTGCAAGGACAGAAAACAACTTCTAACTGACATTCAGCTAAAACTCAGACGTATTCATCGTTTATTTTATAGCTTCAATGAGCCTGAACTCTATTCTTAGGCAGTTTTTGTCCTGATTGTCTGGTAGACCCGGTTCTATTGGAACCAAAACTCCATCATCTGCTCCATCTCCTGCTGCTGTGGTTCCCGTTCTCTCTGCTCTGAGTCAAACCAACCTGTTCCCCTCCTCACCTCTGTTTCAATTTTGTGAAGCAGGAAGTTGCTCTCAGTGTCTTCAGAGGTTTTTGTGTTGTTTCCTTCAGTGGTTCTTGGTCCAGCGCCCCCACAGGCCAGGAGGGGAACAGGCTGGTTTGACTCGGAGCAGAGAGAAAGAGAACCGCAGTAGTGGTAACCGAGTCTAGCAAACTGTTAGGGGGAAAACATACAAAGAGAGCAGAGCTGGTGTGAATTTACCCTTTCAGTTCCAGTTTCTTAATTGAAGGAGCTCAAACTTAAAATTACACTTTTATTGCACAGATTGTCTCAGAGCTTCCAGCAGGAAATGAAGTATTTCACACTCTTATCTTCCACAGGCTGCACGCTCCCATGGCTGTCTGCACGGCGCTCGGATGTTTACACATTATGAATAGTGATTTGCTGGAGCTTGCAACGGACGTAGAAGGGCCACTTCAATAAACACCTTGCCATTTCAAAGCAGGCATGTCCTCCAGCAGAGGTCAGACTTCATTTAAAGCAAATCTCAAACACACAAACAAGCACGCAGCACACAAGCTCTGGCACCTCCATGCAGCTCCTACCAACTGTTCCAGAGAAGGACTTCCTTTAATAGCAGCTTGTCAATCACAACGGCCAACACAAAACAAACAACAGACATGGCAGAAAAGCTCCGTGAGAATCCTTCAAATCCAAACCTGGACAAATTGGAAATTCCTCTCCACATACATGCATAAATGCATCAGCTCCGCATCATTCAGCTCCACAGCATCATCTTCAGGAAATAACTTTCAGTTAAGCAAAACTTTCATTCCTGTGTCTGTGATGCAGTGTGTGTCTGTGTGTGTGTGAGTCTGTCTGTGTGTGTGTGTGTTTGTGTGTGTGAGTCTGTCTGTGTGTGTGTGTGTTTGTGTGTGTCTGTGTGTGTGTGTGTGTGTGTGTGTGTGTGGTGTGTGTGTGTGTGTGTGTGTGTGTGTTTGTAAAGCTGCCCGAGGTGAAGTAATGCATTTTGCTCGATAATCCGGGTGAGCCATTTTTGTTGAGGAGGCAGCAGCTCTATAGCAGCAGAGCCGCCACCGGCGCCTTGGGAAGCAAACTTTTAACCACACAATAGGGAGGTCAAACTGAGATATGTATTTCATTGACCCTGCAGAAGATGAAGTCTTTAGAAATGGAAGGATCAAAGCCTCGGGCTGGAAAGAGACCGACCGACAGAGGAGAGGACTAAAGACTGTTCTGTTGGAGGGAAAACGAAGCACAGTGAATCTAGACCAGACAGTGGTGACCCACCGATTCGCTCCGGTGTGATGAAACAGAGCTTGATACTGCCGGACCTTGAACATGGGGGAATATTTAATCAGTAAAGTCCAAACGCTGCCACACGACCCCACAGACCAAACTGTACTATTGGTGAAATTATTTTTAAGAAGTGGAAGAAACTCAAGATGGTTGCCAGTCTCCCATGGAAGACCTCAGCTGGTGGAGCATCGCTTATCATGAGAAAGGTCAGAGAAAGGTCAGGGGTCAGAACTACCTGGGAGGTTACCACAGAAACACACAACGCAATCATCGATTCACATTCTACACATCAAAATCTTCAAAAAACATTTTTTTAACTAAATTATTAAATAAATAGCCATAGGAGCTGAACAGCAAAGGCATTTATAGATTTCAATCTGTTCTTCAGGATCTTCGACCTTCACCAAGGAGCGGCGCCATCAGAACCATTTCAAAATGAACATAAGAAAAATTTTTGGAGGGAGCTGAACTCCCTGAAAGATCTGGAGAGGATCAGTATGGACCCGTATGGACCAGAACCCCTTCTGGCAGCAAATCTGATCCAGAACCACAGGAAGCGAAACAAGAAACTTTTGTTTCATTAGAGAGGAGCTAAACTGCTAATAAATTACCTATATAGGTCATTTATGGTACCATCTTTATGTTTTTGTAAAAATGTTGACATTTGCATTCATTAACATTTGGACAAGCATGTAGCGACAGCGGAGAGGAAAAACGCTTCTTTCTCAGGAAGAAAGCTCGGGCAGAACCAGAACCTGTGTGACCATCTGAAATGACCGGAGCTTTGAGAAGACAGAGCAGAGACACAAGAACCTAAAAACCATTGCATGAAATTGGAGAAAATCTTTAATTATCCGTTTGATGCTACTGAGAAACAGAGCTGCAGCACCTGTTGCCATGATGACGGTGATACTCACATGTATTTACTGGAGTAAATTCATACCAGACGGAGGCCAAGTCTTACCAGGTTTGAGGGATTACGTTTTCACACAGGTCCAGATTGATTTGGACAGATTTTTATTCTCTTAACAAAGAAAACCATCATTTCCTTTGAAATTTGATTTCTGCATTTATTCAGGTCATTTTTATCAGCTTTCAAACTTTATCTAAGGATCTGAAACATTTAAAGGTGATAAAAAAGAAAAATACTTTTTTTACAGCCCTGTAACAGTTTATATTAAAATCTGCTAAGTGTGGAAGATCTTTGAGAGGCCTGAAATGGACCGCTGTGGGATTTCCTGGACAGATTGTTCAGTCCAAACAGAACCTCACTGGGACCTGAAAGGGAGCAGACCTTTACCCCAGTGGGCCTCATGCCACATGTCAGCTGGGCTGGGAGAAAATAGACCCACATAGACACTCGCTGTAACCCTGAGGAGCCATGTCCCCCAACGTCAGCAGTCAGAAATAGATCATCAAGAATAAATCCTTTTATTACAAGAAGCAGAGATTGATGCAGATGCAGAGCTGCAAAATCCAGCCTTCCTTCCTCCGACTTTGTTTTAACACCACTATGATAATCATCACGCTTTGCTTTTCTACAGTCAGTAAACACATCATCATTCTGTACCAGAAGCTTCATGTCTAAAAATGACCTTTTCTCGTTTTTAGCTCAATCAATCATGGAGCAGCAGAAAGCAGAGGCTGAACAGCTCCAGTGTGACCCGGGAGGCATCGGTGTGCAGGCAGCCGGGACCTTTAAGGCTTTAAAGCTCTCAGTGTGGCTGGGCTGCAGAAACTAAATGCTTCTGCACAGCAGGAAGACATCAACCCTCAGCTGGACTCGGTAAAGCTCAGACGCATCAATGAGAGGTCACAGCAAAATGGTTTCATTCACAAAGAGGACAACATGTTTCACTCCATCAACATTAAAACGCAAACCAGGAAACGTCAGGACTGACAGATGTTTATTATTACAGTCAGAGGAGTTCAAGCAGCAAAGTCTCAGTTTCACCAACCTAAAAACTTTGAAACGTTAGATGTAAAGATGGATGTCACACCTGATACTCCGGTAGCCTCGGTGTGACTGGGGAACCAAGACATTTAACATCTGCTCCATCTCCAGCTGCTGTGGTTCTCTTTCTCTCTGCTTCGAGTCAAACCAACCAAACCCTAAGAGCAACCTGTTCCCCTCCTGGCCTGTGGGGGCGCTGCACCACTGAAGGAAGTAACAAAAACTAGCTACATTTCCATTGATCACAAAATTGCAAAACTGGAATTATGAAAATAAATGTTCACAATGGAAGCGCGCCCATGTTTTTTGATAAAAAAACATTTTGCTCTACATGAGGTTGTTTTTAAGAAATATTGAAATTTGTTTATTTCACAAAACTTCCATGGAAACTCTTTTTTACGCGTCAGGCCAGTTTGTATTCAGCAGCAATGAGCTCCTTGAACAGTCAGCATATATCACAGAGGCACTGTTTTAGCATTAGCTGAAAGGCTAACTCCTTTTAGCACAACAGAAATTAACCCCTTGTGGGCAGACCGAAGCAGCTCCATAGCTGCTGCTAGCAGATGTTGCTTGTCTGTCAGATTTAAGGGCTTACTAGAAACAAGCAAATATAATGATTCTGGACAGAAACTTTGTATGAAAAAAACAATTGTGTTAACATTTTTAACACGTTGAACTTTTTGTAATAAATTAATTGGAAGTCTCTGCCCTACTGTTAACTTTTTTAATTTCAATGGAAATAAGTTTGGGAGGCTTATTTTTCTTCTTCTTGTGCTGCTGTTGGCTGTCTGGTGATACAGAAAGTCTCAAAACATCTCATATAATTACTTGACCGATGCCTTTTGGATTTACTTGGTTACCTTTCTGTGACATAAAGATTTTTGATGCCAAAGGTGTCAAAAAGGAGGAAAATCCTTTTGTCCACTGCACATGTTCAGATATAGACTTTTATGTAATAATTTTATCTTAGACAGTGTAACTCAAATGTTTTTCTATGAACACTATGAAATATATTAGTGGTAGTTTTGGGTTAACAGCTCAGTTTATGTGTATTTCTAAGTCACTCAGTGCATTCAATAAATGCCAGCGAGCCTACTCTGCAGAGTCAAAGTGAAAACTAATTACATTAAACTGAACAATTGAGAGCAGCTTTTTTAGGAAAAAGGGAGAGCTGCCAAAAAAAGGAAAATTAAGAGAGAAAACCCACTGGAGTCATGTCTCCGACTGCGGCAGAAATGTATTTTTTGTTCTTTCACTACCTTTTCTTTGAATCCACTCTGCCTTCAAAAGATTCATTCAAAATACTCATTACATGCCTGATTTATATTCAGCACTTTCAATTTGTACAAGCAGCAGAGTAGCTCTTGCCTCCTCATGTGCTGAATCTAATGTTGTTAAAGGATCGCTTTCCTTTGTGGCTCCTGCAGCACAGGAAAGAGGCTCTGATTGGCACCCGAATGTAATCTGTTCAGCTTGCCCAGCCCACATATACATATGAATTGGACAAAAGATTAAAGGCCTCTCCAGCCAAAATCCCACCTCTGTCTGCACCTATTCATCCCTAGACTGACACATGGTGGAGGCGGCATCATGCTGTGGGGAAGCAGGTCAGAGTTGATGGGAGGATGTATATCAGGACAATTCTGGAAGAAAATTTTATGTACTGAAAAAAAACCTGAGACTGGCTTCAACTTCCAGCAGGAGAACCTTCTTAAATATAAGCCAAAGATATTATGGGATGGTTTAGATCAAAGCTGATTCGTGTGTTTGAATGACCTAGTCAAAGTCCAGATTTAAATTATTTAAAACCTATTTTGCAAATAGACCATAATGTAGTTCTACAAAGTAATATGTTAGAGGGGAGTAGGGCATATGCATCCCTCACTTTTCAGATTCTTATTTGTTTAAAAAAAATGTCATAATTCTACTTTATTTTATAATGATTTGTGGCTTAAAACCAAAATAAAAAGAATTGAAGGAATACGGACACTAAATGTGCGTCTGATTAAAGTTTGGAGGTGAAGGGTTTCTGAGAAGTCCAACTGGGGCAAAGGTCACGTCAAATAACAACCACGTGACTCATCTAACCACCACAAGCGACTCCATTCCAGCTGCTCCAGTCCAGTCATTTCATATTTCTGCTTCACAGCCAAGTGAATAAACGCGCATGCTGGAGTTTGAGTCATCCGGGCACCCGTACAGAAAGTAAACAAAGCTCTTACCCTGATGTGTGGGTTTTCGCTTGCTTTGGACGCCAGTATTTCCAGCAGATCCGCTCGGAGGTCCACCAGGAACTTCACCCCGCCTTCGACCCGGCTCACATGGCCGAACAGCTGCTTGTACCGCGGCGTCAGGCTGTACCGGAGCCTGTCCTCCGCCTGCAATATGGTCGCCTGGTCCCGTCCCTGAGAGTCCAGCAGCCTCGTAGCGAGCTCTGACACCGTTTTATGGTCCACTCCGCACTCCTGGGCCAGCTTGGACAGAAAACCCACTTTGTCTTCCTTTTCCAGACCTCTGTAGTAGTTCATGAACTCCAAGCTGGTGGATTCGGGCGGAGGCGGAGATTTATCTCTGGTTTCATATGAAGGTAAAGGTGCAACGGCCCTCGCCAGGATCTCCTCCATCACCGAGAGCCCCGTTCGGCCCGGAGCGGAGTACCAGCGCCGGCTGCCGCCGCCTGAGGCCTTTGGGAGAGCCTGAGACACAGCTCGGTGCCAACAGAACCGCACTCTGCTCCGGACAGCCCGAGTCAGCGGGTTAGATATCATGGCCCCCACAGCTGTCCGTCAACCCCCAGCAACAAACCCTGGGAAGGATTGTTTCCGGGTCTCTTAAAGAGACAGTAGCTGTGTTCTGGTCATTTGCTAAGCAACATTTCAACACTTTTATGGGAAAGTACATAATCTCGAAGCTGAATTTTCTCTTTGTAAGACAATGACTATTTCTATTGTATCATATTCGTAGAGATTTTCGCAGTTTCTAACACATTTTTGAATAATATTCTTAATAAGAAATAAAGCCTCTGAAGTGAAATCAGAATCGTTTTCATTATTCCCAGAATGTTTCTGAAAAACAACACCAATTAACTTAACGCTGATGTTTCTGGACGGTGAAGGAAAGCCACCAAGGAATCCACACATGCACAGGGAAACACAAACTGCGCACAGAAAGACCCCAGGTTGGGATTTGAACCCAAGACCTTCCTGCCATGAGGCCACAGTTACTAATCTCTCCACCATGAAAGAGATTTTTTTCTCTATTCGAGGACAAAATCAAAATTCTGAGGGAAAAAAATCATGACAATTGTTCCTTTAGTTTTTGTTAACTATAAGTGGAAAGACATCATAATTAGCATAAACAATGGCTTTGAAACATTCTGTGAGTAAATAATTTCACTTAGTGATTGTTATGGCAACAGATCCAATATCTGGGTCATTCCTTAGACACGAAGAGTAAAGGACACGTGAAACTATAAATTTTAACAAAAAATATTTATCTATAAAAATCTCTTGAAATAAATTGTTTCAAATGTCTCCTTTGAAAAAGAGGCTTTGAGCACCTTCCAGGTTAAATAAACACAAATTTCAAATAATTTAATTTACTTTAAAGCACGTGGCTAAATGAGGAGGAAGCCAACAGAGTTAAATACCTTCCATTTCAAATCAAAACCATTTCAAGTCTTCATCAGTAATGTACAAGTACATTTTCTCGAAAGCTGTGCAATTCATAAAAAACTGTGAGCTGCGCTGAAATAAAGAAAAGAGAGACGTTTAAATACATGCTAAAGATGAATATTTATTATAGATTTCAAAAGAAAATAAAAACGGGAGACCGCGGATAACATAGGAAATAGCGCCCCCTTCATTTCCGGAGTGCAATGGTCCCATTTCCAAATAAGGCATAAGATTGACAGCGGTCCGTTCCCGACCTTTCCGGTTCTTGAGCCCTCTGGCTCCCCCAGTGTTCACATGCAGGTATGGCAGTTGACCGCCACTCAAACGGGCCAATCAGAGTCCAGCTGGGACTGCCGCCTGCGTGGTTAACCGTCAGAGGAAACGCGGATTTCAAGTTCGTGTTTTACGCGGAAAATAGACAAATCACCCAAATTTTCTCAATCTTCCAAACGGTGAGTGAGTTAACTCTGAATTTATTTCAGGTTGGCAGTAAAATACATTTGTGGTCATCTGTTGATTTAGTTAATCTGTCAGTTGTTTGTTTTAAGTGGCTACATCCTGGAAGCTAATTGTCAAATTTAGCTAATATGAATATTTAATCTGCTTATTCTAAATATTCCTCTTATATCCCGAAGCTAATCAGTAACTATTCTCCGTCAGACCCCAGAATGGGACGAGAAAGTGACGCCAAAGGAGACGCGAGGCTGAAGCAGAAAGGCCTGAAACGGAAACCGCCCAGTGACCGTGAAAATGCCGGTTCCGGTGGAGATCTGACGAAGAAAAGGTGTGCTTTTACCTCAACAACGTTTTCAGTTATCTAACTCAAACTCTTCCCGCCAGTAATTATTTAGCTTAATAATTAAGAGTTGGAGCATTTTAAAATAAATTTTTGCCCGGAGTTTCGTAAAAATGTCAAAAGATCCAGAGGAAAAGAGATTATTACACAACAAAACTTCCACAGCCAATAAAATTGTTCTACGTATTTCTTCATCAATATTGAACTGTGCTCTGAGTCTCTCTATTCAATCAAAATGTGACAAAACAGGTTAATCTTGTACAGAAGAATAGAAACAGTTAAATATCTTATTTCTGATGTCCAGTCAGCTGTCTTCCTCATGATTGACCTTCTGACCCGGAAGAACCTCTGCATTCTGTCAGTGGATTTGATTTTATTTTAACAATTATTTCTACATCATAATCATCAAAACTTTAAGAAACAGAGGCTGGAAATATTTCAGAATTTTTTTTCTTTCTGAAATTGGTGACAAAAATATTGTTTTTATATATATTCAAATTACTTCAGATTTATCTGTTAAAAAAATCAACTTTTTTATTACCTTTTGATTTGAGGTTTTAGAAACTAAACCTCAAATGAACCTTTTTTTTTGCAGATGAAATGCCTAAAATGATCCTTAAGTGTTCTGTCTTCATGTTTCTGTGCAAATGGTGATATTTTTGTCAGTGAAGGGATGAATAAATCAGTTTATTTCTGCAATATTTTTTAGGATATTAACATATTTTAGCTTTTTCCAAAAGAAGCTAAAATATGCTAGCAGTAGATGGAAACATTTGCTGAGTGAGTTCTGATGTTGGAAACTCTCCCTGCCTTACCAGCGACACCCAACTCTGAAAACCTCCAGCTGAGAGGAGACTCCAGGTTCTGAGATGAGTTCATGCTAGCTTCTCGGCCCTACTTCCTGTTTATTACAGCCACCCGCAGCGTCAACAAAACATCTGATGAAATCACGCTCTGCGCGTCTTGGCGGATTTGCTCCAAACCAGCAGACCGAATTCACATTTTCTTTTTTGTATCATTTTAAAAGTTTGATTAAGATTTGGATAACAATTAATTGGATGGAAATGGCTGCTTGCAGCAATGTAAAGGACGCCTTGCCTGTGTTGAGTCATCAGACCACCATTAGAGACTGGAACCATTAACAATGAGCTCATCCAACATCTGCAGCTTCACCCAGCTCACATCAACGCTCAGCTCAGCCTTTCTTGTCGCTCAGATGGAGAGACAAATTAACTCTGGCAGCTCGGTACTTCAACCGCTGATACATAAGATCATTTATATGACTGTGTGTGTGTGTGTGTGTGTGTGTGTGTGTGTGTGTGTGTGTGTGTGTGTGTGTGTGTGTGTGTGAGAGAGAGACTAAATGAAAGAGACAAAGTGTAAGAGAGAATGTGTCAGGAGAGCTGGTGGCATTCATTACACATCGTACAGTAAACTCTCCATCTTCGTATGAATAAATTGATTTACTTTGATATCAGATGCGTTTATTAGCATGCATTTGTGAGCAGACAAATGAGAGCGGAGCGATCCGTCATTGGCTCGTGTAATTGATGAGAGTGAAGGGACGAACAGACACCTGTAAGCACGGCTGGCGCCGGGAGCAGCAGGCTGTTGACGGCTTGCTTCATGTTGTTTCATGCCTCTCTGATCCTGGTTCTGTCTCAGCTTAGCTTTAGAAACCACAGAATAAGAATAATGAATCCAGCGGGGAGTGTGTGCAGCTCCTGTCATGTCGCCTTGCGTGGAAACGGCGTTAATCCGCTGAGACCCTGCTAGTTAACGGGGCCACATTTCCCAAAACCGCCTGACTAGAATAGAGACAGCAGTCAGGCATCCGCTAAAAACTATGTTCAACCTTTTATTTGCAGCTCAAAACTCTTTGATTTATGCAGCAGAAAACCAAAATGAATCAACCTGAAACTCCTCGGCTGGTCTGGATCAGACCAGAACTGAACTGCAGACTAATTCAGAGAATCATCAGGTTCTGACGAGGTCCAAACCCAGCAGGTTAGCATCAGAGCCAGGAAGCTGAGGCGACATCAGCACATCTATTGCAATTTCTTTTTTTTTTTCCAAAAACATTTTTTTATTGAATTTTTGAACAAGTTCTCCTTACAATTTTTACATGACTCTAATTTCCCACATCTTCAGAGAAAAAAGAAAAGACAACCAGAAAAAAAAGAAAAAAGACACACAGAACACAGCTTCTCATAAAACGGGATGTTCAGACTAACTGGTTAGATATAAGTGTACACTTCTATACATCATAGCACATCGCAGGTTCCTACAAGTCAGAATTCAAATGGGCCTTCTGACAGGTCTAAATCCTTAATGAAAGTAATGAAAGGCTCTCATATTCTCTCAAAAAGATATTGTTTGGATTTCTTAATATATGTTATTCTTTCTAGCGGCAAATTGGATGCCATCTCTCTCAACCATTGCGTGGCTCTTGGTCTGTTGACATTTTTCCAAGCCAAAGCTATACATTGTTTTGCTGCCAGTGAGCTTATATCTATAAAAGTACATTCTGTTTTACTAAAATGATGGTTCTCAGGGTATAGAGCCAGCAAGAACAATTTAGGATCCAGTAAAATCGGCTTTAAGATAATGTTTTCAATTATAACTTTCACCTCTGTCCAAAACAAAGTAATTTGTCTGCATTCCCACATACAGTGTATTAACGTCCCTTTAGAGTTGCACTTTATGCACAGATCTGGCATGTTGTTATTGTATTTATTTAAATGTACGGGCGTAACATAGATACGCATTAGCCATTTAAATTGTAGAATTCTAGATCGACTGTTAATGGACATTGTGTGGGTTTTTATACATTTCCAGTCCTGTTCACTGACATTTGATAATAGGTCCAAATTCCAGTTTATGAGCCTTCTATAAATATTTGAGTTCTCTGTTGAGTAAGAGCAACACTTTATAAAGGTCTGAAATTATACCCTTTCTTAAATTATCCCGGGTTATTAATTTTTCGAGCGTTGTAAGGGAGGCCTGTTTAGATTACTGTTATTTGCTTTCACAAAGCTTCTTATCTGAAAACTTAAAATAATGCTTTTTGTTTAGGCTCAGTTTGGTTTGTAGCTCCCCAAATGACGAAAATATATCTGAATTTGATAGGTACAGGTCACCAATACGCTTTAAGCCTTGCAATGCCCAAAGCTGAAAGGTTCCATCTGCCCTACCTGGGGCAAATAGCTGATTGCCCCATATTGGGCTAAATTGGGATATCCCGTCTGGCTCCTCAAGGTATTTTTTAACCTCCTGCCAAATTTTAATCATGTTTTTCAGAATGGGGTTCGTAGTGTGTTTCTGTAGTTTATTTGATGTATCGGAATATATGAACAATGGAAGAGCTGAACTTAAATTATGGGATTCCATTTCTACCCAATGAGGTTTTCCTTTATCTGCAAAATAGAACATAATAGTCCTTAATTGTGTTGCCCAATAATAAAATTTAAAGTTGGGGCACTTTAACCCCCCTCTGTCAAATGGTAAATAAAGCAAAGAAAGACGTATCCTGGACCTTCCATTGTTCCATCTGAAGCCTAATATGTTTTTTTTCAAGCAGTTAAATAATTCAGGAGGAGGCGGTAGGGGAATGCTCTGAAAGAGGTATAAGAGCTTCGGAAGTATACTCATCTTCAGAGCATTAACTCTTCCTAATATGGACAGAGGCAGGGTTGTCCAGTTGTCAAATGAGGTGGCTATTGTTTTCATTAGGTGCTCGTAATTGTATTTCACTATCTGTTGTAATTCTGGGAAGATCTGAACAATAAATATTCAAAATGTTCCACTACTTTAAAGTGCTTAATTTCCCTGGTGGGATTAGTCCTTTCACCGCCATTTATTATCAGAATAGAAGATTTTCTATTGTTTACTTTGTAACCAGAGATTCTCCCAAATTCCTGACTCACCCCCTCCACCGCCGGTATTGAATATTTCAGATCTGTTAGAAATAAAATAACATCATCAGCAAACAAAGACATTTTGTGCTCAGTGGGAGCCACAACGATCCCAGAGATTCGTGGATGAAGGCGAACAGCTGATGCCAGAGGTTCAATTGCTAGTGTGAAGAGTAAGAGGGAGAGAGGGCATCCCTGGCGACAGCCCTTCTTAATTTGAATCGGCCTTGAGAATATTTTATTTGATACTATTTCTGCAGTTGGATTTTTATATAATTTAACCCAATTAATAAAATTACTTCCACAATTAAATCTTTCTAATATATTAAAGAGATAGGGCCATTCGACCCTATCAAAAGCCTTCTCCGCATCCAGCGAGAGAGCCGCGTCTTTAGCATTCTTTTTGAGCCACACAATATTCAGGACCTTCTAATATTGTGATATCCCTGCCTCCCCATTATAAACCCATTTGGTCCTTGTTTATTATGTCCGGCAGAATTCTTCGCAACCGTATTGCCAGTAATTTACAGATAATTTTGAGATGGGCATTAAGTAGGCTAATGGGTCTCAGATTCTCACACTTATTGGGAGGTTTTTCCGGGTTTCAGCAACTGAATAATTAGAGCCTGATTCAAAGAGGGCAGCAGGGTGCCTTTTATAAATGATTCCTCAAACATATCTAGAAGGGCAGAGAGCAATTTTTCCTTAAATGTTTTGTAGAAGTCGATGGGGATACCACCTGGCCCTGCTTGTTTACCAGATGCCATTCCTTTTATGGCCTGTGTTAATTCTTCCTTATTTATTTCTATATTTAAGTCTGCTCTACGATCATCTGCGATGACAGGGATATGTAGTCCTCTCAAAAACTGATCCAGTTCTTCGTGGTCTAGATTACCTTGAGTGTCGTATAGTTTCTGATAATAATCTCTGAGAGGATTATTAATGTCCCTTGGATCTATTAATGTTTTATCCTGGGTTTCGATTGTTGTGATCGGAGTTGTCGCTTCAAGCTTTTTAATCTGCCAGGCCAAAAGTTTTCCAGCCTTGTCTCCCTGTTCATAAAAGTTTTGTTTCAATCTTAAGAGACTGGATGCAGCTCTAAGACTGGACAGTTTATCATATTCTGCTCTAAGGATCAACTATTGTTTTTTCTGCTCTGCATCATTTGTTTGAAAAACCCTCTCCTGAGTGTTCCTTATTTTATTTTCTAGTTGCTGTCTTTTAATCTTGGCTTCCTTAGACTTATTGCCTGTGACGCTAATAATGTGACCTCTGATAAACGCTTTGAAGGCTTCCCATCTGATGCTTGCTGTCGTTTGATTCGTGTTGATCTGGAAGAACTCATCAATTTGTATCCCAATATATTTAACAAAGTCCTCATCCTGCAACCACTTATGCTGAAAGCGCCATCTAGGGGGGTCTCTGGTGAGATTCTTATCACAATAGCTCAGACAACATGGAGCGTGATCTGAGATCACTATATTATCATACTCACATTTGTGGACTTTGGGCACTAGTTCTGATGAAATTAAAAAATAATCTATTCGCGAATAGGTTTGAAATGTTGCTGAGTAACATGAGTAGGCTCTGGTTTTTTGCTGCAATTCCCTGAAGACGTCTACCAGTCCTAGATCTTTCATAAACATCTGTATTGTTGTTCTACAAGTATTATGCGTCAGGTCTGACCCTGTGGATCTATCCATTTCTGGATTAAGAGTACAATTAAAATCACCTGCGATCACAGAGCGCCCCTGTAGCGATGAGAGTAAGAGGAACAAGTCCTGAAAGAACCCAGAGTCATCTGTATTAGGACCATAGATGTTAACCAGGTTTATTTTTTCCGAAAGTAATGAGCCTTGAATTATCAAATATCTACCCTTCTTATCCATAATGACATTATTTACTAGGAATGGGACGGATTCATGAATAAGAGTCATAACTCCTCTTGCTCGTGAAGAGAACGCCGAGGTGAATACACTGCCCCGCCACCTCCTCCTGACTCGTACCTCGTCCTCCCCCATTAGATGCGTCTCCTGTAAAAATACTATTCTGGAATCCAAATCTTGTAGTTTGTTAATGACCTGTTTGACCTTCTTTAAACGTTGTAGGCCCCTGCAGTTCCATGTAACCATTTTAAGATTTAAAACTTGTGACATGCCTGACTCGCCAATTTACCTGAAATGGAGAAGTATAAAAAAGAAAGAAAAAAAACGACAAAAAAGCGAAAAAAGATTGTCCCCCATATGAACTTGAACCTTTGAGAAGCTTAACAAAATAAAACATTCAACATATCCCTTGAACCTAATTTCCCACACCCTGTCCGCCATCCCAGGGCCTCCCTGCCCCCTCCGTACACCTCCCGTTATCACGTGTGACTGACCCACACGCAGTGAGGAGCAGTCCAACCACTCAATCTCACATGGCCGCCATAACCGGAGGTCTGCAATTTCTTTTTACTTTTTTCATGAATTATGATTTTTTTGGGGGTTCCTGCTGCTCATTAAATGCGACTGCAGTCGGACTTCAGTGTGAACAGTTTACGGCCCCAAAGTGACCCGCAGAAGAAAACGCAGCCGTTACCCACCAGCGCTCTGCTTACGATGTTCAAACGAATCACTCCAACCAGAGAACACCTGCGTTTTCCAGGTGGGTTAAATGTTTCCAGAGCTGCTTGTTTTCAACAAACTGCAGCTGCAGTGAGAGGGAGACCGCCGTGCCGAGACTGGAAGGTTAAGTAGAGGAAGTTCTCCTTCAGAGTAAAAGCATATTTGGATGGTCACACATGTTTGATTTGTAGTTTTGACTAGGACACACTGAAGTCCAGCCTGCGCCGGGAAGCGCTCAGAATCTCCAGGTCTCGTTTGGATCTGATGTAAAGAAACAACATAAAAGTTTGACTAAAAGCTTCTGATTGTTTCTGCCTTTGGGGCTCAATCACTAAACGCTGTTTAAAAGAAATTGTATTTGTCTTTTCTCACATTCTTCTTTTATCTCAACTTTTTGTTAAATAATTCAAGGTCAACAAAGTCCAAAGAGAAGAAGAACAATGACAGGTCTCCTGAGAAGGTAAACTCTCCTTTCTGTCGGCCAGCAGCATGGAGGAGTTTTCATGTCGAATCGTTTCCATCTGCTCAGCTTTGATGCTTGGTCTTTCTCCCAGGTCAGGGAAATCCTGGAGCCAGTCAGCAGCTCCAGGTGGGCATCCTGGTGCCTCATCTTTTTCCTCCTCTCTTTCTGACTCCCAAAGAGGTTTTGACCCTTAGTGACGGCAGACACAGACTTTTTATCTTCTTTGTAATGAGCCAATCTCTGTCTAGGAATAAATGTAAGCCAGTGCAGAGGGAGAAAACGTCGGGAGGTAACAAATGAGTTGATGGCAGTTGGATCCTGAGCATCAGATCCGCCTCACAGTTTTACTCCTGTGGTTCTTAACAAATCTAAACAGATTCAGCCCAGGGTCGTTTTATTCATCTTCTTCTTCCTGCTGTTTTTTCTTTTCTATTTTGACTGGTACTTGGTGGTCAGGAACCATTTTTAAATTAAATACCACAACATTTCACTGTTTCTCCTCTTTATTTGATTATTAACGATCTCTGGACATATTTCTGAGATTTCTTGTCATCATGAGTCGCTCTATGATTTTAATGAAGTCAATTAAAACTGCTGAGTTTAATTTTGTTTTTCTGAGCTGGGAAATTTACAAGTCTCAAAAATGTGATGATTGTTTTATTTTCTCTTTAAAAGTTATAATTATGTAATAATTACTGGGACTGCTATCATGACGGTTAACAGAGTGAAGTAAATTATTGTATTCTTATTGTTTCTCTTTTCTGACATTTAATTTACACTACAGAGTAAATTAAAGCAGTCATGAAGATGGAATTTGTTACAAAATATCAAATGTATTAAAATTTGATAAAACTGAAAGCTGACTGGTCTGAGTGAAATCAAATGAATCACAGATGCGATTAAAACATGACTGCAGGTTGTTGTCTAAAATATTAATAGTGGTTTATTTTTAACTCAAAGATGAAACATGATTTCGACAGTTTGTGAAGTAAATGCTGCTGCTTCTCTGTGTGACCAGTGATTTGGTGAAACTCGAGCTGCAGGACGACTTTACTGAGAAGAAGAAGAAGAAAGGATTGAAAAGGAAACGTGTGAAAGACGAGCCGACAGAGGAAGCAGCTGCGGCTGAAGCTGCGGCTGAAGCTGCGGCTGAAGCTGCGGCTGAAGCTGCGTCCGTGTACGTCCAGCCGATTCACATCAAACTGATGCTTTTATTGTTCTCACGTTGTCCTCTCACATTCCTGCAGCTCAGAAAGAGGAATCAAGTCTCTCAGTGATGAAGAAGCAAGTGAAGAAGAAGCTCAGAAAAAAGAATCCAAAAAGAAACCCGGAAAGGTAAACCTTCGTCTCCGCTGGCGTCTTCCTCCTTCTGGACCGGCTGAACGCTGAGCCGCCTGTCTGGACGTCCTGGTCACAGCGGGACGGCTTCAATCCACATCTTAAACGTTTGTCTCTTCCAGACGGTCAAGAAAGAGGAAGGAGAGGAGCCAGTCACCAAAAAACCCAAAAGGTCAAAGGAGGAGATCGAAGAAGCCAAAATGCTGAAGATGAAGAAGAAGGAAGAGGAGGAGCAGAGCCGCTGGAGATGGTAGGGAACTTCGTCCTGTTGGTCCTGCTGTCACTCGTCTCTGCCTGTTTTCATCTCGCTGCTTCCTGTCAGGTGGGAGGAGGACCGGTACGAAGACGGAGTGAAATGGAAGTCCTTGGAGCACAACGGACCTTACTTCCCTCCGGAGTACCAGCCTCTTCCTGACGACGTTAACTTCTTCTACAACGGTCAGTTCGGTTTTATTCTGCAGGAAAACCGGTCCCTGGTGAATTCACCGGTTCTGATCATCAGCTGCCTGCTTCTCGCTCCAGAACCACCAGAACCAGTGACTTAATGCCTCCTCTGAGGAAACGATTCATCACATTAATCTGTTATTAAAAATCAATAGTCATTAAATGTATCAATTCAAATAAGGCCGTTTGCTCAAACAGGACACTCAGAAAAGGAATTCAGCTAAAGCTATAAAAATATAATAATTTTTAATTTAAAATAATGAAAAAAAAGAAAAACATTTTTTGTCTATAAATCCCAGAACTCCTCAAGTTGGGTTCAGAGTCTGTCAAAAGTTTCTGAAAGCTGGTGGATGTGAAGGAGCCGTCCCAGCGCACTGCAGCTGGACGGCGTCCAGGTGAGGCGTCCAGGTGAGGTCTGTGTTTGTGTGCAGGTAAGAAGATGAAGCTGAGCCTGGCAGCAGAGGAAGTGGCGCTGTTCTTTGCCCAGATGTTGGACCACGAATACACAACCAAGAAGGTGTTTCGTGAGAACTTCTTCAGAGATTGGAGGAAGGTAAGACCAGGCCGGCGTTCCCATTGGCTGCTGGAACGTGTGTGTGTGTGTGTGTCTGTGTGTGTGTGTGTGTGTCTGTGTCTGTGTGTGTGTGTGTGTGTGTGTGTGTGTGTGTGTGTGTGTGTGTGTGTGTGTGTGTGTGTGTGTGTGTGTGTGTGTGTGTCTCTTCTCTGTAGAGGAAACCGAGCCTCAAAGCACGTCATGCAGAATTAATTTTGCGGTGCTTAGTGCTCTTGAAAATACGATTTATATGAAAGCATTGATATGCTAATCCAGACAACTGGCTTCTGCATATGAACAAATCCAATTATGATGTTTTATTATAGCCAGAAAAGCTTTCCGCGCTCCGCTGCCCCCAGAGCCCGCCCACCGCCGCCTGCCAGTCAGCCTGACTGACTGACTGCGACAGACGAACGCTGTGTGTTTTATTGACATCTGATCGGTTCAGATCCAGTTCAGGTTTGGTGAGTGGACGGGTTTATTGATCGCTAACGATGGGCTGAGCTTCACAGCTCGTCTTGTTGGCCTGTGTTGACCTGCAGCAGCTTTAATAATGAGATGAAGCCTGTTGATGTAAAGACGTTTAGCTGATTCAGCACCAGGCCCGTCCATCAACATCAAGGCTTGTCCCACTGCGGTCGCCAGTGGTTCTGGTCTCAGCAGGAGGATGTGGTGCATAAAATGTAGCAAACATGTTTATGTTCCATAGCTCTAACCCGACTGGTTTAAACAGAAACAATGGGACCGCAGGGAGCGCGTGGACAGAACCTCTGGGTCGGAACTGCAGGTCCATTCAGAACGACCATCATGAAGCTGCAGAGCTTCCATGCAACTCTGCAGCTTCATGCATCACTGTCATCAGCTGGAGAATAATTTAATGTGTTAAGAGTTTCATCAGTCTGAGTCCAGTTCAGGTGAGAAATCCCAGTTTTATGTTAACTGGTTTGTCGTCCGTTAGGAGATGACCCGTCAGGAGCGGTTAGTGATCACAGATCTGGAGAAGTGTGACTTCAGAGAACTCCACGCCTTCCATAAAGACAAGGTGGAAGCCAGGAAGGCTCTGAGCAAAGAGGAGAAGCAGGTAACGCTCCGCCTGCTCCCTCCGCTGATCTCTGGGAACGCCTTCGGTTTCCCACCTGTAAGCGACGCTCCGTCTGTCCTGTGTGTCTGCCGTAGGCTCAGAAAGATGCCAATCAGAAGATCGTGGATAAATATGGCTACTGCCTGCTGGATAACCACAAAGAACGCATCGGGAATTTTAAGTTGGAGCCTCCGGGTCTGTTCCGAGGGAGAGGAGAGCATCCCAAGCAGGGAATGCTGAAGAAAAGGATTCTACCGGAAGATATCATCATCAACTGTAGCAAGTGAGTGAGAGGTGTTGTCAGGTGAGACCTGCAAACTTAAAAATCCAGCATAGTCAGGAAAAAGGTTTGATCTGGAAAGTGCTCACTCCCTGAGGTTTCCAGGGAGTGAGTGCTGGAAACTGAGGTTCCTCTCATTTCCAATATATTGCTACTACTCAGTTCTACTCAGAAATCTGAATTCCCGGTTGGAAAAGTCAGACTTCCTCTGGGAAACTGGGAGCAATTCACACTTGTCCTAGTGATGACTTGTAAGGCTGAGTTTGTGTCAATGTGGCCGCTCCTCTCATCAACAGCAGTTATTTTGCCCTCATGTAATATTAATGCTACATGTGACAGCCAGATTAATCACCTTTAGTTTAATTTATTGTTTCAGCCCCTATTTTAGTGGAACATTTGGGTCTTTATTTCCCTTAAACGACTGTGGATGAATATTTATTTTCTCCTAATTGCCCAGAAGCCCCGCAGCTTCTCTCCTGTTCCCCCTGAGGGGAAGCAGCACTGACTCGTGTTTCTGTTTCTGCAGAGAGGCCAAGATCCCTGCGCCCCCTGCTGGTCACCACTGGAAGGAAGTACGGCACGACAACACCGTAACGTGGCTGGCCAGCTGGACCGAGAACGTCCAGGGATCCATCAAGTACATCATGCTGAACGCCAACTCCAAACTGAAGGTATCCAGACTGATGTCTGGAGTGAAGGCGGTCTGTGCAGTTTGAAGGCGGTCTGCGCTCGGTAAAGGCGGTCTGTGCTCAGCAAAGGCGGTCTGCGCCTGGTGAAGGCGGTCTGCGCCCGGTGAAGGCGGTCTGCGCCGGTGACGGTGAAGGCGGCGGGCGCCCGGTGAAGGCGGTCTGCGCCCGGTGAAGGCGGTGCGCCCGGTGGCGGTCTGCGCCCGGTGAAGGCGGTCTGTAGTGACTGTAGTTGGTGTTTCACCTGCAGGTCTAAACTTTAAACATGCCTCCAGCCTGTTTGCTGTGAAGGTTTCCTGGTTTCTCGATAACTTCCTTCCTGCCATAGAGGTCAGATTGATGGAGTTCACAGCTATGCTAACAGCTATGCTAACAGCTAGGCTAACAGCCATCCTTCTGAGGGATTCTGCCACCTCAGCCATGTCTCTCTGCAGCTCCTCCAGAGTCTCCACTTTGTTCTCTGATGTTGTAGCAAAACGTGAAGCTGAACTTTATTTCTTCTGTGGCTGAGATTTAAATTAGACGCAGCTTCAATGGACTAATTCTGAAGGCAACCAGTTTTATTGGATTGTATTTAGTGGTGTCGGAGGAAAGAGGGCTGACTTTGTGAATTATCCGTCCGTTTCCCAGAGATACGCTGCTTTGTGCCTCTTTAAAATGCGGCTCAGGATTTTAGCAGTTTTTTGTGGATCTTTTCAGTGTGAATAAACGTGTTCCCCGATCGATCCGTCGCTCCAGAGGAAAGCTGCTTCCTTCTAGTTTTAGTTTCGATCTGCATTCATGATATGATTATCCTCAGAATATTTTTACTGTGTGATCATTCTGTCTGCAGTTTATTATCCTCAGTCTGTCTCTGCTTGCTCTCTTTGCAATCGGACCTGCAGGGAGAGAAGGACTGGGAGAAATACGAGGTTGCTCGGAAGCTCAAGTCGTGCGTGGACAGCATCCGGGACGGTTACCTCCGCGACCTCAAGTCCAAGCAGATGGTGGCGAGGCAGAGAGCCGTGGCCCTGTACTTCATAGACAAGGTGTTTGGGTCGCCAGCCGGGCTCTGCTGTGCGCCGCGGTTTGAGCTTACAGACGTGTTTCCGTGCTGCAGCTCGCCCTGAGAGCGGGAAACGAGAAGGAGGAGGGCGAGACGGCGGACACGGTGGGCTGCTGCTCGCTGCGTGTCGAGCACATCACTCTCCACGACGAGCTGGACGGCAGCGAGTGCGTGGTGGAGTTCGACTTCCTGGGGAAAGACTCCATCCGCTACTACAACAAGGTGCCGGTCATCAAGAAGGTACAGAACAAAACAGTTTGGGTAATTATTTCAGATCAAGTCTTTTAGGCTTTCATTCTGATCAATTGATTTCACAGATTTTAAAATGTAAAAATCTGTGTTTATGCAATGAATCAATTGTTTTTAAATGTAAGGTTTCTGACCGGAACATTTGTAATGGCTTATTTCTGGTACAACCGTATATCTGATGCACAGCGACGGCCCGCTTCGAGAAATGATCCGACTGGTTTTTCATTCCAATGTCATGAATTAATTTCAGATTTTGCTAATTAAACACAATTTCAAATATTTAGCTTCAGCTGAACTCAGTTCCCAGTTACTGGTTCTGATTAGAATTAAAAAGCAGAGGCAGAAATGATTTAAAATGCCTTTTCTTATTATTATTATTAGAGCTGAAAGGATTAATCAGACTGATTATGATTAATCAATTATTCAAACAATCAGCTAATTTACTAATTGATTAGTTATTAACTCTAAAAGCAGTTTGAAAGAACAGTCAGAGCTGCAAGATTAAAAAACTTTATTTTTCTATAAATCTGTTTTACTCAGATTTTTTAGCTTCACCAGCTTCATATTCTGTAAAGTAAAATCCTTTCAAGCATCTTTTTGGCCAATAATCTGATGTTGGAATGCTGCTGCTGTATTTTTGTAAATAGTTTTTTTTGTTCGTTTGAATTACGTATTTGCATATTTGATGTCTGTTTAATATATGAAAAACAATTAAGTGTTTTAATGAAAAATCTGCAGGATGTACCATTTTAAAAAAAATCCAGTTAATGAATTAATCATCAGGATAATGATCAATTAGTTACTAACATAATCATTATTTCCACCCCTAATTATTATTGAGTAAAGATGAAATCTCCAGATTAATGTGACATCATTCAGGTTTTCTCCTCCAGATGTTTCCAGCTGCAGCAGCTTTCAGCTCTTTGCTGCATTTCTACTGTTTTTATCCAGATTCTTTTTCCTCCAGGAAGGAAGAAGAAGCAAAATCAATGAATTGAAAGAGTGAATGAAGTGATGTGGAGGCATTCATGATTGAAATGGCTTCTAGATTCTGTACTTGTTAAAACAGATGCAGGTATGCAGCAAATTAAATAAACCCAATTTCTGGTTAAATTGGCATTTTGGTCTCTCAATAGAGATCTTAGGTATTTTTCTGCAGTTTTCGTTACTTGTCCTTACTAAACTCAAGACAGCATTACTGAGAGTCGTGTTTTTTGAGCTCCAACGGAGAAAATAAAGATGCATTTGTGTAATTTTTATATTTAATTGGAACCTTGAAGCAGCAGTGGTCTGTGTGCGTCTGCATGTTGCATAAATGTAAATGTGTAACCTCTCCTCCGGTGTCAACCCGCGCTATCTTCTGTTCCAGAGATGGGGAGGAAATGTTAACACCTGACAGCCAAAGTGTTTTGTTTTTGGCAGAACATATAATTATTCAAATGAGTGCATTCAAAAGCATCACATTAGCTAGAATTAATTAGTCTCTGCATATTTTAGCATCATCAATTCCCTGGCAAATCAGTGTGATTGCTGCTAAATGTCACTTGGAATAAAATGGAACAAGAATCAAATGATGGAATTTCAATTTCTCACTTATTTAGCTTTAAAACCTTTAAATTAATGCAGCAACCAGGCAAAACATTAGAACCGCTTGACTCAGCGGAGAGACAGAGAGCCACAGCAGCTGGAGGTGGAGCAGCTGATGGAGTTCTGCTTCCAGTAGAACCGGGTCGACGGGACCATCAGGAGGGAAACTTCCTTAAACAGACCAACTTCACCAGGAACTGCATTTAACGTCCAAATGTCTTAAAATGGAGACGGGCTGTAACTGGAGGGCGACGGTTCCATCAGCGTAAAATAATAAGACACTGCAGGATGCGGCAGAGATGATGCGTCTGCAGTAATTTATGGATCAGGCTGAGTGAAAGTGAGTAACAATGGGATGAATAATGATCTGTCAATAACTGATTGCACTGAATCTCTGAGAATGTAGCAGCTGAATACATATTGATCGGCGCTGCTGCGTCTTTGTTTAAGAGCCAGAGGGACGTCCCTCATTAGCAGTTCAACAGTGAAGCTGCGGTTCATCAGGTACCGACGGAGCCAAACAAAGACCCGACGTTTTCTGTAACTTCTCAGAAGATATCTGTAATAATTGGAGTTGTTTTGTTTTTGTGATTTTTCTGACCTGAGTTCTTCATGTTTCACTGGTGAATCTTTGGATGAGTTTAACTTTTATTCAATGCTTCATGTTGGACAGCTGGAAGAGAACCAACAACTTTATTTCTTTTTTCTCCTTTTTTTTCCTGATCGTTCAGTTATTTGCTTTTCATTTTCACAAGATATAAGAAACTTTAACTTCATACATGTTTTCATTTTTTTCCATAGCTTCTCTAGTCGTATCCGACTCAATTATTTTTTGTTTTCAGGTTTTCAAGAATATTAAGCTTTTCATGGAGAGCAAGGATCCTGGAGACGAACTCTTCGACCGTCTAAATGTGAGTTTCTGCTTCCGGTCAGTCCAGCTGTCGCTTTCAGGACCACTGCTGTACGCTAATGGCTGCTAAACATTAATTAAACCCACTAATACACGCTAACAGCTGCTAAATGCTAATGGCTGCTAAACATTAATTAAACCCACTAATACACGCTAACGGCTGCTAAATGCTAATGGCTGCTAAACATTAATTAAACCCGCTACGACACGCTGACGGCTGCTAAATGCTAACGGCTGCTAAACATTAATTAAACCCACTAATACACGCTAACGGCTGCTAAATGCTAATGGCTGCTAAACATTAATTAAACCCACTAATACACGCTAACAGCTGCTAAATGCTAATGGCTGCTAAACATTAATTAAACCCACTAATACACGCTAACGGCTGCTAAATGCTAATGGCTGCTAAACATTAATTAAACCCACTAATACACGCTAACAGCTGCTAAATGCTAACAGCTGCTAAACATTAATTAAACCCACTACGACACGCTAATAGCTGCTAAATGCTAATGGCTGCTAAACATTAATTAAACCCGCTACGACACGCTGACGGCTGCTAAATGCTAACGGCTGCTAAACATTAATCAAACCGGAGACTACACGCTAACGGCTGCTTAACATTAATTAAACTGCCTGCCAAATGCTAATGGCTACTAAATGCTAACGACTGCTAAACATTAATTAAACTACCTACTGCACGCTAACGGCTGCTAAATGCCAATGGCTGCTAAACGTTAATTAAACTGGCTACTACACGCTAACGCCTGCTTTATGGTAAGCTAACGGATAAAGGCAGCCGCCTTTAGCTAGCGCAGATTGGATCAGGTACCTGGTGAGGAATCTGTCCTGCTGGAAGCTGCTGGGAATTATTGTAGGTTTTGTGATGAGAACAATTTGAACTTTGGGTCTGGTGGCGCCGTGTAAAATGCACCAGAAACTCCTGAGCTGTGTAAAGAGAAAATGGGGAAAGCAAAATAGAATTACATTTTTCTATCTCTTCTATGGACAAAAAGCTGTGGTAAAGCAAAAAGCAGGGAGTAAATTGCCAGGTGCAGGAGATGAGATTGAATGAGGAAGAGCTCTTGGTGTGCAGAGATGAAAGGGCTTAAGAGAAGGAACGGGAGGAGAAGAGCGAGAGAATATTAGAGCGAGAGAGAGACTGAAAGAGTTTCCAAAGAAGCAGCGGATGGACTCTGGCAGATAAAATCAAACTGAGGGGAAAATTTACAGGAATCAAACTGGGGAGACAAATTTCCACTCAAAACATGCCACTCTGTGCTGCAGACTGGACTGGTGGCTGGTCCGGACTGGTGGCTGGTCCAATAGCAGACTGGATCAGCTACAGGCGAGTGGAAGGGTCAGAGGTTTAGATAGGCCTGTCACAATTAATGTTGCTGGATGATAAATTGTCCCAGAAATAGTTGAGATAAATAATAATATTGTTGTTTAGACCATTTCCAACTTTCATGAAGGTGTAATGATGCAAGTTAACCCTGTGAAATATGAATTAATTTGGATGATTAACATTAAATTTCAAACACAATAAGTAAAAAGGAAATAAAAATCAAATTACTGAGACTATAAATGAAACAAAATTGTTCTTAAAAAAAATGAATCAATTATTGAGATCATTTTTAGTTTATAATAAGTACTTTTTGTGGTCTCATTGATGAACATTTGTCATCAAATCTTATCTAAACAATATAAACGTTAAATGACCCAAAACATTTGCTGTGTTTAAATCAGTTAAAGGAATTATTATGTTTTAATACGAACTCAAGGCAGATATCAGTTTGTTCTTTCTTTTCATTCATTCATAATTCCTTTTGGTTACTTAAACCAAAAACTAACACGGAAAAAAGCTTCAGATCAAAGTTTTCTGAATTTGGTTCGTTTCCCTCCAGCAGCGTGTGACCACACTGCCACCTGGTGGCTGAGAGTGTAATAGTTTCCAGAAATCTGTGCATGTGCGTGCGCGTGTGTGTGTGTGCTTGTGCGTGTGCATGTGTGTGTGGATGTGTGTGTGTGCTTGTGCGTGTGCATGTGTGTGTGGATGTGTGTGTGTGCTTGTGGATGTGTGTGTGTGTGTGTGTGTGTGTGTGTCTGTGCGTGTGCATGTCTGTGTGTGCTTGTGCGTGTGCATGTCTGTGTGTGTGTGTGTGTGTGTGTCTGTGTGTGCTTGTGCGTGTGCATGTCTGTGTGTGCTTGTGCGTGTGCATGTCTGTGTGTGTGTGTGTGTGTGTGTGTGTGTGTGTGTGTGTGTGTGTGTGTGTGTTTGACCTGCTGCCTGTTTGCTCCTCCCAGACGACCCTCCTGAACAAACATCTGAGCTCTCTGATGCCGGGTCTGACTGCCAAGGTGTTCAGGACGTACAACGCCTCCATCACCCTGCAGCAGCAGCTGCAGCAGCTCACCAACAGTAAGCAGCTCCGTCTGACCTGCCGCCGCCACTCAGACCACCACACCTGAGACCACCACACCTGAGACCACTAATTTAAGCTTCTCCCAGCAGCAGATTATCGGCTGCCAGAACCTCGACCCGGCTCCATCACAGAGAGTCGGGCGTCTCATTTCTGGAGCCGATACTCTCACTGACGCAGGGGAGACATTTATAGATGTTCAACTCTATAAAAATACAGATTCAGAATCGTTCAGAACTGCTTCCATGCGTTAGTGAGAGGAGAAGCTGCTGCATCATGTTCAGATCTGCAGGTTGATGAAACTTTTCTAAAAATGTTTTTACACATCTGTCTCATCCTCACTGTCAGGCCAGTTTGAGACAAATAATCTGAAAAAAAAAAACTAAATCAAGCTTCTCCGCCTTCTCTCAGTGCTAAGTAGAAACAACCAATCAGAGCCTGGAGGCGGGTCTTAGTGCTGTCAGTCATCCCTCTGTGTGATCCCGTTCCTTCATCCCTTGCCCCGCTAAGCTTAATTAGCATAGCCACAGATGACTGCAGATAAACCGTTTCGCTGGACGGTAATTTGTTTCTCCATCCTTAGCACATTTAGCAGCAAGTACATGAGGATGATTGATGGCGCTAAGCTTCTCCTGGCTCTGATTGGTTGTTTCTGGTTCATTTCTTCAGGGAGGAGGTCGATCTGTTCAGATTGTGTCTTGTAAACTGTCACAACATGAAGACGGTTTGAATTCCATGTAAAACATTTTTAGAAAAGTTTCTTCCTGAAGCTGATATTAAACCTTGTTGCTCCTGCAGAGTCTGACAACGTGGCGGAGAAGCTGCTGTCCTACAACAGAGCCAACAGAGCCGTCGCTATTCTCTGCAACCACCAGAGGGCGCCGCCAAAAACCTTCGAACAGTCGATGGCCAACCTGCACTCCAAGGTGAGCTTCAGCTCAGCTTGTCCAATCAGTCGCTCTGACTGATTAATGCTGCGACCTGATTGGTTAGAGAAAGCGTCCCTCTGGGGGAAAACGGGTCGGTCCTGACGGTCAGTGCCGTCTGGACCGACCCCTCCAGAGGATTCAGAGGAATCGTCGACTAGAACACGTTGGAGTGGATGTCGTCTCTCCGACCTGCACCTTGTTTTTGATTTGCATCATCTACCCAGAATGCATCAGTGAATTGAACATGGCGACATCCATGTGACTGTATTTTACAGAAACTTATAAAAACTGAGCTGCATTTTTACTCTTATTATTTTTACATTGGGGAAAAGAATCATGAAATTTGTTCCAATAAAATGGGAACCATTAAAGTGCCAATGGATCAGGCAGCGTTCTGCTGGTCTCCATGGTTTGTAGAGAGCGTGTTATTCTCTGTGCTTATGAGAAATGCTCCTGTCCCCCCTCCCCAGATTGTTGCTAGAAAGGAGCAGCTGGCTCTAGCCAAGACGGAACTGAAACTGGCCAAGAAGGAAATGAAAACCAAAGGCAGCCCGGACAGCAAGCTGCAGAGGTGGAAACATTAAAACATCGTTAGCATCATTATTGATATTTTAACTATTATTGGACTGTTTTACACTATCAGCAAACAGCCAATGAGCTCAGACTTTCAGATTCACGTTTTCTCCTCAGGATGCAGAAACGGTTTTAGTCGGTTAGTCCAACACTGACAGGCTGCTAACAGCATTAGCATCAGCGGCTTGTTCCTGTTTGGCGTCAGTGTGTAGCACTGGTAGAGCGCTAACGGCGTTAGCGGTGTGTGAGGTTTGTCCTGTTTGGCGTCAGCATGGTGGACAGGAAGGCGGCGGTGGTGAAGCGCTGTGAGGAGCAGCTGCTGAAGATGGAGCTCCAGGCGACGGACAGAGAGGAGAACAAGCAGATCGCCCTCGGTACCTCCAAGCTCAACTACCTGGACCCGCGGATCAGCGTGGCCTGGTGAGCAAAACCCCATCCGGTTCTGCTGAAACTTTCACTGCTAAACCTTCTGGTTCAGTTCAGTGATTTATCAGCTTCTAAGTATTTAAAAAAATAGAAAATTAAATTTTAGGCAGTTTGATTTTGAAACAAAAATTTCAGACCTTTTTTTAAGTGAAATGTTGACTCGTTCAGAAAATACAAAATTCTACATAAATGTGTCCTCTGGGTAAGAGGTGCCAAAACTTTAACTTAGTTTTGCTCACTGGACTCCAAAAACACTTTCATTAGAATATTGAAATATTTGATAGTTGAGTAAAAAATGAAACACAGGATTAATTTGATGGAAAAGTCATTTTAAATCAGGTGCAGAAACTTCTTCAGTCTGTCAGGTGACTAAAAACATCTGCTTCAGTTTAATCAGATCTCCAGATGTTTCTGTTCCTGCGTACTAGGAAATGAAAGCTTCGACACTCAAAACATTTCTGGGTGCAATAAATCTGATCATAAACTGCTGTAATGATTCTGTAGTCAAAGATAATCCGTTCAGATTTCTGAGGGAGAAATGAAGCTTTTTAATCGAATGTTATTTCATCACGAGCGTCTCAGACTCCATGTTTTTAATAAATCAGGTTTGGTTCTGGACCAACGGGTCGTAACAAACCGCAGGATGAAAATAAAGCCACTCAGCCTTCCTTTGCTCAGAAACAGTTTATTTGTGTTTGGACATTTTGTGTGGAAGTGAAAAGTTTTGCGTTTTTCTGTGGGGTCAGGTGTAAGAACATGGACGTACCCATAGAAAAGATCTACAATAAAACCCAGCGGGAGAAGTTCGCCTGGGCCATCGACATGACGGCGGCCGACTTTGAGTTCTAACCCGGAACCCGACCCGGACCGATTACTTTATTAATATTCAGTACTTTATCATCCTGTTTGTGGTTTGTTGTGCTGTAGATGTGAAGTGATCAAGCTTTGCCTCAATGTTGCTTTAATGCTAATATGTTTGCTTTTGGCACTTAAGTTCAATAACTGCTGTTGGTTTATGTACATTTAATTTGAATTAATCTCAATAAAGGCCCATGATTTGCATAAAAAATGTAAATAAAGCCTGAATTTTTAAAATGTTGTAAAATGTCATTTTTGACCTTGGTGGAGATGATGGAGTCTCATCTCTGTTTTTCAATAAATTCATCATGGGAGATGATTTAAACTGTTTGTTTAGGTGTGAATAATTCATGCAGGAGTTTATTGGCTTTAATTAAAGCATTTAAAGTGAATAAAAATAGAATAAAATGAGGAGCGACTGCTGGTCATGCTGGTGGAAACATTAGAAAAACACAAAGCACCTTAGAGTTGTTGACTTTTCTTCATTACTAAGCAAATAGTTAAATATTAAGCACAGATTACAAACTTCAGTGTTAATAGAAGAACATTAGGAATGGAATGCGTCCGTCCGTTGGGTTACTGGGCTCACTGGTTCTGACCCAGTAGCGTCCACCTCCAGGGTTGATCAATAATCTGCTCTAAAAGGTTCAGGACACATTAAACTAGTCTAGCTTACAATGTTCAGCTCTTCAAGTCATTCACTGGAACCGTTTCACAAAACTCAATAGTTAAAAAAAGCATTTCACACAACATGACACCAACAAGTCGATTTCAGTGGAAAAGTTCTGCTGCTCCGGGTCCAGGACCAACGGGTCCAGGACCGACGTCGGGCCGCCAGGAGCCTGAGGGCAGAAGAGAAACCGGCTTACGATCCTCCAAGCTGCAACATTCACCGCAGGACCGATTTAAACATTTCATCTCCAAGAGTTCAAATTTCTTTTAGTCTTCGGTCTGAAGTTAAATTAGTTTCAAATGTCTTCCAGTTCCAGTAAAATCTAACCAACTTTAAATTTGTTAAAGTTTTTAGATATTTGAAAACATGTTTTTGCATCATTATGCCATTATCTTTATATTACTTAAATGAGCTCAAAACAATATTTATTGAGATAATTTCTGGTGCAATTTAACATCCAGCAAAGTTTCAGACCTAATTTTGGATTCTTAGTTTGATTCCTTTGTGACTTTTTGTCTTCAGTTAGCTTTAGTTAATTTAGTGGCTCCACTAGTTTTCACTAAAGCAGTTTTTGATACTTTGGTTAATTTTAGGTGCAGCATTCAAAAAAGTCAAAGTATCAATTTTTGAAAATGATCTAGTATTTATTAATTTATACAAAATCTCAGTGCAATTATTGAGTGAACAGTCCAGATGCAATCAAGAAGGATCCAACGTGAATATTCAAATAATGTTCCTTTCACAACTGGACACAAAGCTTGAATGGATTTCATACTGGAAACCAAACAAATATAAAGTGTGGAAAAAATAATTGATTTGTTTGAATAGATTCATAAACACATGAAGGACAGATCTATAATCTCTCTATGTTTTAGTTTCTTAAAAGCTCAATATAATTCTAGTTAGCGCCAGTTTCTCCCCATTAATTACTTTTCATTTCAGTTTTGATCAACTATGAGCCGGTGAGGAACATGAAGTCCCAGCAGCAGCCTGAGGGGGGCGCCGCCCCCTCTCACCTTCATGACGACCCTTGGCTCTCTTTGGGTTTCTCCGGCGCCGCCTCGATCTCCTCCACCCCGGCCTGGGTCATCAGGTCGGCGATGTTCTTCTCCAGGTCGTCGATGCGTGTGCTCATCTCGTCGAGTGGGCAGCAGGTTAAGGTTCATCGTTTAGAGCTTTGAATAAATCTAGATTATTGTTCTACTCTAATCTGCTGCGGCAGCCATGTTTAGGATATTCCTGCCGATGATCTGGTCCGACATGGTCTGGAACTTGTCCTGCATCTGCTGCAGCAAAGTCTGGACCTGCAGAGACAAAACCGGCCGGAATTAAAGCTCCGTTTGAGTTTTGCTCTTCAGAGTCATCAGGACTGAAGGGAGGACAGGTCAAAGGTCAGCAAAACTATTAAGGTTGTCAATTATTCTGACTGATTTTTTTTCATTTAGTCACTTAAGCTGATCAAAAACAATATTAGAAATACATTAAAAACTACAAATAAATTCCATTTTAAATGCATCAGCAGCATTTCGTCAGTAAACTTTTGATCATTTGTAGCAAAAGATGCAGGTCAAAAAATCCTAAATGAAAAGCTCACACCTTTCTGACCTGGAGATTATTTCATATTAACTGGTGAGTTTTCTGAACCCCAAGTGAACCAGGTGAAGTTAAAACCCACCAGATGAGTTCTGGGTAAAACAGATTTACACTTTTCTTCATCTTAAATACAAAATGTTGATGTTTTTCTACAGTTTTGGCCTCATTACTGCTGACTAGCGTTTTCAACAAACTGCCTTTTTTGATTGGTTGATGATTAATCATTTGACTCACATGTTTAGACATTCACCTGCAGGGCGGCGCTATAGATACACTAAACTGCAACCAGATAAATCCATATTTACACTAAACCAAGAAAATCTCCTTTGTGTTTAGATTTGAAATATCTTCAAGAGCAAAGAGTAAAATGTTTTGTTTATCTGCTCAGCGTCTCCACAGAACCAAAAACTTCGGATCAATTTCTTTTTAGAAAAGGACAAAATAATGGTCATCGGCTTGTTTCCATGCCGACAATGGAAAAGATGGGTAACCATGGAGATGGCTCTCAATTCACCTGTAAAGGTGAAGAACATGAAAGCCCTTCAGCCAGTTACTGATCTCTCTACTCTGTTGCTAAATATAGAAACAGTTTCTACTAATTTACACTTCAAGAATAAAATCTAACATAAGTGATAAAAAAAATCTGATTTCCAAACTTCCATAAAGAAATTAATCATCTGCAGGAAACAGTGAAAGCAAAATGTAGTCAAATAAAACCTTTTCCTGTCTGTATGCTGAGCTGAAGAAGAGCTGAGGAAGAGCTGAAGAAGAGCTGAGGAAGAGCTGAAGAAGAGCTGAGGAAGAGCTGAGGAAGAGCTGAGGAAGAGCTGAAGAAGAGCTGAGGAAGAGCTGAGGAAGAGCTGAAGAAGAGCTGAGGAAGAGCTGAAGAAGAGCTGAGGAAGAGCTGAGGAAGAGCTGAGGAAGAGCTGAAGAAGAGCTGAGGAAGAGCTGAGGAAGAGCTGAAGAAGAGCTGAGGAAGAGCTGAGGAAGAGCTGAGGAAGAGCTGAGGAAGAGCTGAGGAAGAGCTGAGGAAGAGCTGAGGAAGAGCTGAAGAAGAGCTGAGGAAGAGCTGAGGAAGAGCTGAGGAAGAGCTGAGGAAGAGCTGAGGAAGAGCTGAGGAAGAGCTGAGGAAGAGCTGAGGAAGAGCTGAGGAAGAGCTGAAGAGCTGAGGAAGAGCTGAGGAAGAGCTGAAGAAGAGCTGAGGAAGAGCTGAGGAAGAGCTGAGGAAGAGCTGAAGAAGAGCTGAGGAAGAGCTGAGGAAGAGCTGAGGAAGAGCTGAAGAAGAGCTGAGGAAGAGCTGAGGAAGAGCTGAAGAAGAGCTGAGGAAGAGCTGAAGAAGAGCTGAGGAAGAGCTGAGGAAGAGCTGAGGAAGAGCTGAAGAAGAGCTGAAGAAGAGCTGAGGAAGAGCTGAGGAAGAGCTGAAGAAGAGCTGAGGAAGAGCTGAGGAAGAGCTGAGGAAGAGCTGAGGAAGAGCTGAAGAAGAGCTGAGGAAGAGCTGAGGAAGAGCTGAGGAAGAGCTGAGGAAGAGCTGAGGAAGAGCTGAGGAAGAGCTGAGGAAGAGCTGAAGAAGAGCTGAAGAAGAGCTGAGGAAGAGCTGAGGAAGAGCTGAAGAAGAGCTGAGGAAGAGCTGAGGAAGAGCTGAGGAAGAGCTGAGGAAGAGCTGAGGAAGAGCTGAGGAAGAGCTGAGGAAGAGCTGAGGAAGAGCTGAAGAAGAGCTGAGGAAGAGCTGAGGAAGAGCTGAGGCTGAGCTGAGAGAGCTGAGGAGAGCTGAGGAAGAGCTGAGGAGGAAGAGCTGAGAAGAGCTGAGGAAGAGCTGAGGAAGAGCTGAGGAAGAGCTGAGGAAGAGCTGAGGAAGAGCTGAGAAGAGCTGAAGAGCTGAGGAAGAGCTGAGGAAGAGCTGAGGAAGAGCTGAGGAAGAGCTGAGGAAGAGCTGAGGAAGAGCTGAGGAAGAGCTGAGAAGAGCTGAGGAAGAGCTGAGGAAGAGCTGAGGAAGAGCTGAGGAAGAGCTGAGGAAGAGCTGAAGAAGAGCTGAGAAGAGCTGAGGAAGAGCTGAGGAAGAGCTGAAGAGCTGAGGAAGAGCTGAGGAAGAGCTGAGGAAGAGCTGAGGAGCTGAGAAGAGCTGAGGAAGAGCTGAGAAGAGCTGAAGAAGAGCTGAGGAAGAGCTGAGAAGAGCTGAAGAAGAGCTGAGGAAGAGCTGAGGAAGAGCTGAGGAAGAGCTGAGGAAGAGCTGAGGAAGAGCTGAGGAAGAGCTGAGGAAGAGGAGGGTCAGAGTCCTGACCACATGCAGCCACTGAGTTTCCACAGCAACACGTTGCTTTCACTGGCAGGTGTGGTAAAATCGTCATGGTGACGGGACCTGAGGAGTTTCCCAAAGGCTCAAAACTGATGATGACTGTGTGGGGGCAACTACAGCTCAGTGGGGGCAACTACAGCTCAGTGGGGGCAACTACAGCTCAGTGGGGGCAACTACAGCTCAGTGGGGGCAACTACAGCTCAATGGGGGCAACTACAGCTCAGTGGGGGCAACTACAGCTCAGTGGGGGCAACTACAGCTCAGTGGGGGGCCTTCAGTCTGCTGGTCACAGTCACAGATGCACAACATGCAGTGCAGCTTCAGTGTGTGTCAAGGAATGGGAATTCAAATGTGATTCCTTTATCCCAAACGGATTAAAAGTGGATGGTGATGCCACTGCTGATCCACCTCCTTTGCTTTTGCCACTCCCCTGGAGATCACCATCAGGCCATGAGGGATGTTGGAGTCGGGGAAGAGAGAGTTTGAACTCCCTCCTCCTCTGTCTGCATCTATGAAACCTCCGTGTAACTCCTCTGGGATTTGAGGTCAAAGGTCAGATATTTGAGGTTAACAGATGCTCCCAGTTCTAAAAACAACACGTGGTTCTCATGTGTCGGCATGTTGACAGCAGACGATCATGTTTCATTTAATCTCTGCTGGTCAACACGTTCAACTTTACGGCAGAATCAACTCCATCTCCATGGAAACAGCAGACACCTGACCAAAGAGCTCTGCATACTGTAGAGTAACTATTAGAGATCTGAATTAAAATGGACACGAGCTCAGAGTTTAACACTAATGCATTAAATCAGAATAAAAAGCTTTGCTGTTTGGATCCAATAAATGACATGTAGCGGTTAATTTGAACAGAATTTAAAACAGCTGATGGACTTTATATACACAGACTTAACAGAGATGTTAGAATGTGAACATTTCACACCTAATGCGGAATAAAAGCTGATCATTTCTGTCACTTTCGGGTTAAATTCTGGGACCTAGCCTAGCTCCGTTAGCATTCCTGTTAGCATCGTTAGCTAGCCTTGCGTCACGACTCACCACGTTGGTGAGGTCCTGCACCGACTTCGGGTCCGTCTCAGCCATGGCGTCCAACGAGCTGGAAACAAAGTCTTCACGGGGTTGAAACTCGGCTATGAGGCCGCAGCTTTGCTGTTGAATCGGTAACAGGTCGCAAGAAACCCCAGCCACCCACTCAGCTGTTCCACAACAAACGAATCTCGCGAGAAGAGCTGACTCTCGATGCTCATATTAATAAGTATAGAAATTTTACAGTAGATGCTGCAACCGCTGCATTGCTCCGCACCAATGGTACGTCACGTGCTGACACTCATAACATGGTAGCGCGTCCGACATGTTATGAGTGGCAAGATTTCCTGCATTTGGAAACGCAAATGTGAATTTCTATGTAGTTAGTTTAAATTTCCACCAAAACCCTCAAATGTTTAGTTTAATTACACATATTTGTCATAAAAAAACAAGGGCTAGAGGTATACTCTTCTAACATTTAAACTTTTCAAGAAAGAAATGAAGTGCTGCTATTTTAAGTCAGAAATTTCTGACAAAAAGACCAGAAGTCCTCTAAGATTTAAGTGGTCATTTTGCCAGATCTGCATCAACTTTTTGATAACAGAAAAGTTCCTGGATTTTTTTTCTGATAAACATGTGACATTAATCTAAAAGTTTTTTCTTGTAAATTTACAACTTTCCTTCGTCTGAGAATTTGTTCATTTTTCTTTCAAAATATGTGAAATTTCCAACATGAGACAATTTTTTCCTTCTTTCTTGAAAATATGTGAAATTAAAAAGAAAAAAAGTTTTTTGTTGGTGAAGCTTTACTTCTTATGCAGAATTCTTTTATATGCCTACAACAAAACGGCCACTCACAATATGGCGGCCAGTTGGCGGCATCTATTCGTGTGTATCTGTGTTTCAGACGGAGATTTGGGAAGAAAACGTGATTCCTCTGGTTGTGTTGATGCCTCCAGCCTGAGGAACATCCTGTAATTAAGGTGTTTATTCTTATTTGAATCCCTGCTCTTACAAACTGCTTCAAAAACCATTTCAGGCCGAGACTTTGAAGGACTAAAAACTTTATGGAGCGATGGCCGTGTGCGCGCGCCTGTGTGCGTCGGGTCGCGCGCTCGCCGCTTCGGTTTGAGAGTTGAGATTCGGAGCAGCAGAGGATCCGGTCCGGTTCGGTGGTTCCTCACCGCAGGAAGGTGGATGAGGAGGAAGGTGAGTGGAACTGCTGACTCAAAGTTCCCACAATATTCTACAGTTTGGAGAAATTGTGATAACTTGAGGTTTCTGACCCGGTTGACCCCAGTAATAAGAAATGCTTTGATGTCGGTGTCAGTTGGTTCTGTTGGAATTGGTTCAGGCATGTTGGCCCTTCCCCTTCCAACTATGCTTTGGTTACCTGACCCAGCCTGTTCTGTTCGGTCCGGCCCAGCTGGGTTTATTCTCACAGGGAATCTGTCTAATATTTAACTTCATAAACTCGGTGATTTAAATCCTTTGCATCGTTATCTTTTAAATCTTCCTCTTTACAGCCGCACATTAAAGTTCTCCATAAAGGCTTGATGTTTAAAGAGGATTTTATTGGATTCAACCTGGAGCCTCTCTGCAGGAAGCCCTTCATGTCTGCAGGCTGATGTTGAAACCTAAAATAAGCAGTGCCGGCCCGGTCCGGCCCGGCCCGGCCCCGGGTCTCAGGTTTCCTCCTGTCCTTCCACAGAATCTGAGCTCCGTTCAAACAGCAGCTTGTTTATGGAATAAACCCCTGCAGAGTCTGTTATAGGAGGAGACCCTGTTTATCACCTCCATCCCAGACCCCCTCCGGCCGCCATGATGCTGCCTTCACTGACCTTTGGTCTTTAGCTTCTGTTTCCAGCTCTTCTTTCTCACTCTGCTGATGAACCAGAAATAATGTCATCAAATCTGATGACGTTTGGTGCGTCATCAGCCATTGTTTTTGCAAATGGGAACAGCTGATTTGTATCTAAAAGATGAAAGACACATGAACTTTGACCCCACATCCCAGGAGTTGAAAAGTTCAAACCATCTCTTCCATCCATCTTCATCCTCAACTTCGTCTGTCAATCTGAGACTCAAAGAGAAGCAGCAAATGCAAAGGAGGTGGATTAGCAGAGCTACTGATGACGTCATCCAGGACAAGCTACTGTCCTTGCTGCCCAGATGTTGGGTAAATAATGTTATGGAGAGTAACGTAACGGAGATGGGAGTAACGTAACGGAGATGGGAGTAACGTAACGGAGAGTACAATGCATCAGTTTCCCGGATAAAACGGGATCTATGTTTGGAAGAGGCTAAAACCATTTTAGAGGAACTGAATTGTTGAGGGAGCCGACTGTAAATATGGATTTAAACCTGGTGGATAAAAGCTTGAATAAACGGACGAGATGGCTGACAGCTTGTCAAAGGCAGGTTGACGTTACAATGGGATAAATACATTTCACAGCAAGCTCAACGTTTTCCATGTAACTCCTGAAACCAGGCTAACTGCTACAGTGACCAGGCTAACTGCTACAGTGACCAGGCTAACTGCTACAGTTACCAGGCTAACTGCTACAGTTACCAGGCTAACTGCTACTGTGACCAGGCTAACTGCTACAGTAACCAGGCTAACTGCTACAGCGACCAGGCTAACTGCTACAGTAACCAGGCTAACTGCTACAGTAACCAGGCTAACTGCTACAGCGACCAGGCTAACTGCTACAGCGACCAGGCTAACTGCTACAGTTACCAGGCTAACTGCTACTGTGACCAGGCTAACTGCTACAGTTACCAGGCTAACTGCTACAGTTACCAGGCTAACTGCTACAGTTACCAGGCTAACTGCTACAGTAACCAGGCTAACTGCTACAGCGACCAGGCTAACTGCTACAGTTACCAGGCTAACTGCTACAGTAACCAGGCTAACTGCTACAGCGACCAGGCTAACTGCTACAGCGACCAGGCTAACTGTGGTAGTTAGCCTGGTTACTATGCTAGTTTACGGCAGCTGCCCTGTAAAATACTGAAACGTCTGTTTATGTCCGCTGAGCGTCGCTGAGACACAGCAGGTTTTTATTGGATTCAGTAGAACTGTCATGGCGGGACGTCCGAACCCAGACCCGCTCAGGCCGGAACGTCGCTGCCGCCTCGAGCTGACCGTGACGTCAGTGCGTGGCGGCAGCGACGTTGCCTAGAGACGGAAAACATCGCGCCGTTTTTAAACGTCCGCCGGGATCTTCAAAAAAAAAAAATAGACGCGAGTAGGAAAATGGCTGCGCGGTGAGGCTGAATATAAAACACATAAATATGGTTTATACCGATCCTGTTGCGCTTTCAGTAAAATATTGTTTGATCGTCCTGAATGATGAGTTTGAATAAACATTAATATACATTTAATTTATATTAATGATAAATGACACTTTGAGAAATCATACTGACAGATAGACATAAATAAATCAGGAGGATGAAGGAATAATTTTGTTGGGGAAATGTCGGTATATTTTAGAAATGTTATTTTATTCAACTGTTAGGATCACTTGACCTATCAAGATGCTGTTCAATTTAATGAACAATTAGTTCTAGAGAAAATGTTTCTCTTGAGTGTGGAGGGAGAAACACGCTCAAGAGCTTAAATGACAAACCCACTCAAAAAAAAGAGAAATAGTTGTCAATGTTTTCATCCTAAAAGAGGCCAAAAAATTGTAAGCATCAAATTAAGCAAATAGTTTACATGCTGTGTTCAGATTTATCCAGGCAAATATATATCTGATCAGCACTGCACATCCTGATCAGAAGCAGAAAAATTTTGTTTTAAGTATATATTTTTTTTATATTTAACCCATACGGGGCGTTTTAGAGTAATTAATTCCACTTTTATCCATTCTGATGGTTGAAGAACAGATTAAACCTGTAAACATCGTTCATGTTGAGCTCATGTTTGTTTATTCAAATAGCAGCAAAATGTTTTTTGAATTAAATGTTGCTTATTTTGTAAATTAAGGATGTAATTCATTAATTACTGACCTCATCTATTTATCAACCACAAGACATATTTATAGTTTTTATGTAATTCAGTCATAGACTCTTCTTGAAAAATAAAATCATTTGTAATATGTTTCTTTAGGACATCAGTGTTGATACTCTAGAAATAAACAATGGAGAAAATAGTGAAACTTATAATTCTGACACTACAGAGAGCTTTTAGGGGTTTTAAAACCATTAATTGGAATTTATTGTGATAAATTCCTATCGTAATAAATAATAATAATAATACGATAAATGGCCAGCCCAACTGAAAAACTCTAAAATAATGCGTGTTTTCTGGATTAACTTTATGTTCACAAACAGAAGCTGTGGTGTTTTTTTTTCCTGCTCATCTATTTCTCTTTTTTTTTCAATCAATAAATCAGTCTGTTTAAATTGAACCTGTTTAATGTATTTAATCCAGTTTGTTCACCCGTTAGAAATCACATCTGGAATACTGAACCTTTGTTCCTCCTGCAGGACCTGAGAACGCGCTGAGCGCCGATCGGAGCGATGGAGGCCGAAGTGTTCATCCAGGCGGAGGATGCAGACGGTTCCTGGACGCTGCTGTCCCTGCTGGCGTCCGTCGTCATGGTGTTTGGCGGCGCCCTGCCTTACGTCCCGCAGTACCAGGAGATCCAGAGGAGCAGCAACACCGAGGGCTTCTCCACCAGGGTCTGCCTGGTCCTGCTGGTCGCCAACATCCTGCGGATCTTCTTCTGGTAGAGGAGAGAAGTTACTGAAACTGATAAGACCTCCGTATGAATCTGCAGCTTGGTTATGACACGTTTCTGTTGCAGGATAGGGAAGCAGTTCGAGGTGACGCTGCTGCTTCAGAGCCTGGTGATGATCCTTACCATGTTCGCCATGCTGCACCTCTGCTGCTCCGTCCACAGCTCCAACCGGGTCAGCACCAAGGAGCACCGGCTCACAGGTACAACTACAGGAAGATGCTCAACACCACAGATCACCTCACAAACACAAACGCAGACTATTTAAAACTGCAGATCATTTAAAACTACAGATCATTTAAAACTACAGATCATTTAAAACTACAGATCATTTAAAACTACAGATCATTTAAAACTACAGATCATTTAAAACTACAGATCATTTAAAACTACAGATCATTTAAAACTACAGATCATTTAAAACTACAGATCATTTAAAACTACAGATCATTTAAAACTACAGATCATTTAAAACTACAGATCATTTAAAACTACAGATCATTTAAAACTACAGATCATTTAAAACTACAGATCATTTAAAACAGATCATTTAAAACTACAGATCATTTAAAACTACAGATCATTTAAAACTACAGATCACTTCCTGGTGTTCCAGGTCTGCTTTTCCAGTCTGTCCATGTGGCGTTCATGGACTGATGAAAAATAAGTGTTTCCAATAAGAATAATCGAGTTGTAAAATAATAATTAGTGTAGTTAAACAACTTAAAAGTACTTTTTCCTCCTAATAAGCATTAATTAAATTGTCTGCTTGCTTTTTAAAGTGTCTTTGTGATTTTTTTGCGAAATTGAAAAGAAAAGAAAACTTATTTTCTCAGAATATCATTTCCAGTTTTTGTGTAAGTGTTTCAGAACTGGGCCAAATGTCTCTGTTTGGAAAATCAAATTATGGTCTCTAAAATATTATATTCCAATTAAGACAGTAAAGGCTGCAGTCCTACAGCTGCCAGGAGAGGGCGCTATGGGAACAGTTTACACAGGCAGCATGTAGCTGACAGTTTTATTTATTCATCATTTTTACACAAATGTTTATAATAGTGATTATAAAATACACTGCTGTAAACATCCATTGTGTGAAACTTTATTAGTAAAACTGTAACATAACAAATGTTTATTTCTATTAAATATGCAGCAGAACATAACAAATGGGATCTGTTTTATGTTCTATTGATTTCGGTTCACAATAAATGTTGTTTTGAGGCCCTTTGCCATAAAAAAACAATTTCAATTCAAGTTATCAATTATTTTAAGTATTTTGAAAAGTTTTAATCTAAGGAAACCCAGCAGAGCTCCTCCTGAACCAGCAGGGGGCGACAGCAGACAATGGCTTTTGTTGAGTTGTTGTCTTTCCAGCCCCATACCGAGCATGCATGTGGCAACAGTGGAGAGGAAAAACTAATTGTGGCAGGAAGAAACCTCTAGCAGAACCGGCTGGAGGTTTGAAAACACAGAGCAGAGACACTAGGTGGTGATGTCATGGCTTTGCAAGGTTTTGATTGGTTCATTTGCATCATTTTGGTTAATAGGGGAAAAATCTGGGGACGTATTTTAAGGCAACACATCAAACTTTCTGGGTTCCTGTGTGACATAATGGAATTATCAAAGAATCAGGAAGAGATCTTCAGTTTTACTGCAGCAGACTTTATGTTTTATTTTACAGATGTGAAACTTAATGAAACAAAACTGAAAATTCATGTCAGGTTTTATCAGATTGTCACCCACAGGAACAATCTGAATGATGGAAGCTGGTGACATGATCAGCTTTATTAAAAACATAAATTAGGTTTTTACATTTGTTCTGTGGAGGAAGCTCAGATCGTAGTTTAATCCGGTTTGAGAGAGTTTTGCTTCATCTGCAGGGAGCTGAAAAATTACTCAGCATTGATGCATATTTATGTTAAATCCCATGCTGATGCATTTTTCTCTTTGTTTTTTGTGGTGAGGAGAATAATAAGTGGAGTCTGATCTCTGAAAGTGAAGTTCTATCAATCCTTTTCTCCACATGTGGAGAAATTATCATAGAAAATATGGAAGAGCAGCAGAAAAGATGCAATATTCTGTCATCTGAAAATATTCGTCTCCTGTTGTTGTCTTCCATCTTCATTCGGTGAGGATCCTGAAATTGTTTTCTTTCACTGATATCTTTTCCTTTGACTGACCTGGCCTTTAGGCTCTCATGTTCGTGTTTTTAAACACAATCCTTCGGTAAGCTCGCTCTACACGTTTCACTTTGAGCTATATACGGTATATAAACAGTCGATGCAGTACTGCGGTCCAAATCCTTACGGCTGAAGCTGAGTGGCTGCAGATCCTGAAAACCTCTGGCTCTATGAGCCGACTCATCGTTCCGACTTTTCTACGACTTCCAGAGGCTTCCTGCGGTGTGGGGGCCGTCGGGGAGCCGCCCGGGGACCGCCTGCGGTCCAGCGGCCACATTAGCGGTTCTGTCTGATCACACAGCGGAGCAGGGCCAGTAGAAAGGCTGGGTGCAGCAAAGCTGAGCAGATAATGCTAATGGTGTGAGAACTAAAGATGGAGGAGATGTTTGGTGAGAATTTCTGAGTAATTTAGCAGAAATGTGCAGGAAGTTTGTGCTGAATAACAACCTGAGGTCAATAGGTCAACCAGCTCCCCTACATTATCCAACTCTAACCAATTTGGTCAGTGAACATTTTTGCAGAAAAAATAAAAGAGTTGATTGACACCAAATTTGTTTAATTTTGTGTCTAGGTGAGCTGTAATGGAGCATAAAATAAATTTGGAGTTCAGCATATTCATGTTTAAATAAATGAATGCTTTAAGTCAGTTCAGTGCTATTTTTCTGTCTACTAAACCTCAGATATCGAAGGTAAACAAAGGCAAAAGAAAAGCTCAGTTTTAGTTGGATCTTAAACTCTTTAGCTGCAGCCGTGTGAGGAGCAGAACGACAAGGTCGAGAGATTATCCAGCGTTTAAATGAGAGGAAGAACCGAGGATCAGACGTCATATCGGACCGCCACAGCTGCCAGTCCGGACGGGTCCGGTCCGGTTTAGGGAACGGGATGAGCAGAGCGACGGACGACTCAGAGACCAAGCAGCAAACTGAAGGCTCTGTTTTTAATTAAAGCTCCTGATAGCTGAACATTTCATTAGCAAGTCAAATGAAGCCGGGAAGGTAAAGCAGCAAAACAACGGCTCACAGGGAGTATTTGTTCAGATATTCATTCCACTTGTTGGCGTTCACACAGACTCCCAGAAGAGAAGCAAAACACTTTTCTAATATAAAGTTAAGTTTTCTAATTACCTTTGAAATGGGCAAGGTTGTTTTCATGAGTCAGTGTTTGATAAGGCGCAGGAGGACTGGTGGCCTTTCGGTCTGAACAAAACAAAACTCTGCATTTAATGAGTTATTTCAGGAGCTGATCTGTTATATAACACGTGGCTACATGATGAAGCTAACCGGGGGACATTAGGAACGCAGCGACACAAAATGATGAAATGTTCAGAGATCCGGCGGAGCGTCGGTGTTTGTGGAGGTCAGAGGCTTCAGCATCTCCATAAAATCACTTACATGATTAATTTACAAGCTTATTTTAATAGTTAAAACCAAATGTTCCTTATCATGCATTAATACAGGCAGTGGAAGCCGTCTCCAGAGCGCTGAGAGCCGGGCTGTGATTGGTCAGAAGTTTATGATGTCTTATGCAGAAATGTTGATGTTTTAATTTAAAAATTGTCCTCTTTATAACACTGACACTATCTTCCACTGTCTAGTTTCTGCAGGTGACATGAGGAATTATGGGTATTTTTATTATTCTTTGCTAAATAACTCCAAAGAAAACATGAAAACGTTGGAGGCTGTCTGCAGACAGGGGGCGCTCTCTCTGGGACGCTCCATTAAAACCGTTTAAAGTTAGTGGGAAAGTCATGCAGGAACACATTCAAATGAACATTTAACCCTGGAACTGAAGGACATTTCAATCATCCACAATAAACAAAACAACAGAATGAATTTTGAAGCTTCTGTAGAGAAACAGTTCAGTTGAGACCAAAACAACTTTCACCATCTAAAAACCATGCAAATGTAAATTATTGAGCCTGTTTTAATCTGTTATGTGATGGTTTTATTTAGTGCTTCTTGCAGCAGGCCCGGTTGGTTCCTGGGGACCAAAGCAGAACTTTAGTTTGTTGTTTTTGAACATGCAGCCAGTCGGTGACTGACGGCTCCGCGTCGCCGCAGCTGATTGGACAAACCTTCTGTCAGCGTTATTTGGTAAAGATTGGTCAACTTGAAATGTTTAATAGAAACAGCTTTAATAAAACTTTTCATGCCAGCTGTAGATAAAAATGTGTTTTTAGTTTAATGGCTTCATTTCATTACATCACTTCCTTTGTCGTTTTCATCTTCAGCAAAATATTTATCAGTTTTACATTTTCCATTAAGCAACTTTCTAATAAACATGTAAAGTTATTGATTGTTGTTTTAAAGCAGTAATAAGTGGTGCTGGCGGTGTAGAGTTGGTACAGTGAAGCAGCCGATCCTGCAGGTTTGCTGCTCATTATTTCCTCTCTGTGGAAGAGAGATGAGTTTGGCCTCAGCGTTCTCCTCTCCTGCATCTGTTCTGCTCTGATCAGGCCTGATGAGAGGAAAACCACGCAGGAAAGCTTTAAAACACCGCAGGCTCGCTCATTAGGAAGGAGGAAACTTGTGCCTAGTTGACAGAAAGGAGAATCAGCTACTGGAAGGTTTCATCAGATCAGTGAGGGAGGAGTAAACCACACCATGTTACTGTGGGTAGAAACTTTTTGTAGTGCCTTAAGTTGTAACGCGGACTTTAAGTTTGAGATGTTAACATTTCAAGTTACAACTGAAACCTGTCATGAAGCAGGAAGTCAGAACGTTTTCAAAGAGGAAGTGAGGACGGCTCTGCTGCTGGACTAATTGGAGAGGCGACTCTCCGCCCTGGGCGCTACCAGCCGGGGGGCGCTGCAGCCAGGGGGCGCTGCAGCCAGGGGGCGCTGCAGCCAGGGGGCGCTGCAGCCAGGGGGCGCTGCAGCCAGGGGGCGCTGCCAGCCGGGGGGCGCTGCAGCCAGGGGGCGCTGCCAGCCGGGGGGTGATGCAGCCAGGGGGCGCTGCAGCCAGGGGGGCTGCAGCCGGGGGGCGCTGCCAGCCGGGGGGTGATGCAGCCAGGGGCGCTGCAGCCGG